AAATAACAGGAAAAATTTATAAATTATTTTTTAAAAAACAAAAGTGAATTATCAAAATTGAGAGGAAAAAGAAAGTAAAAAAATCGCAAAAGGTTAGAAATAAAATGAGAAGGAATGATAAAAATTTAAGAATTATCAAGAAAAAATATCAAAAAAAACGATTTTCCTTTTTTAATTGAAACTTTTCCTTCTTTGATTGACACATTTTTTTTGATTGAACCATTTCCTTTTTTGTTAGACATTTTTTTCTTTTTTGATTGAACCTTTTCCTTTGATCGGACCTTTTCCTTTTTTGATTGAACCTTTTCTTTTAATGATTGACCCTTTTCCTCTTTTGATCGTACCTTTTCCTTCTATGATTGAAACTTTTCCTTTTTTCAGGGTTAAAACTTTACAATACTTTTCAATATAAGTTTAATATCTATATCTTTTTGAAGAAAATAAAGAATATTTTACTGAAATTTGGATAAAAAGATTTATTATTAATGAAAATTTAATATAACAACTAAAATAATTATAATGATAAAAGCAAAAAATGATAATAATAATATTTTAAATTTTATTGTTACTTTACATTCCTTTTTCCAATATTATTTCATCCTATATATCTGTATATTTTATATTTTTTTAATAGATTAATTTAAATGTAAAAAAAAAATCATATGTGTTATATTTTTAAGTTAATGGATAAATTCTTTAAAAAAAGAAATAATAAAAAATCGATCGTTAATGGATACTTTAAGGTAAACGTTTAATTTAAATATAATAAAAAATCAAGTTAAATCGTTTAACAAAAAAAATACAAATTTTATAACTTTAATATAAAATGTCTTATGGACATAAGAAGAATCAAACTAACCGATCGACAAAAAATCGATTACATTAACACTTTTAAAGTTGAATAAATTTTTTCAAATAATAAATTTAAATGTGATTTGTATTTGAGCAGTCATAACAAGATATTTCAGGCTATGCATGGAATTTTCAACTGATTACCTGTTACCTCCATTTAATAATGAATATGTACCTAAAAAGCAAGTATAATTATATTTAAAAATTTCTAGTTAAAGTTTTTGTTTAAGAAATATGGATTCGCTATTTTCGTTTATTCTATTAAAAAATTTTCGCGATAAAATTTTTAAAAAAAAATATGTAGACTAGGAAAAATGGCCGTTAGTTGATATGATTATTGGCTGAAATATAAAATTATTGAATTTTGAATATTTATTAATTTTTTTATTTTCGCTAGTAAGTAGGTTTGAATTAATTGATGAAGGAAAGAAGAAGACGCAGATTGCGTCCCAAATAAGGGATTTCCCGTTGGACCTGAGGGTACAGGTTAAACCGTCGGGTCTGAGGCCGTCCTATAATGAAAGATTGGTTAGTTCGAGGATGTTGGGTATTTTAGCCAGCGTTATGGATGATTTTATTAATTGCTTTTGCCAGAGATGGCGACTTTGGCTGCGGGTGCATAGGCCGTGTCGGGTGTTAAGTTGAACGGGTAAGTTGCATTGTTGGCAAGTGTGGGGCTGTGTAAGCAAGCATCCAAGTCTAAATCCTATAGTAACTCTTAGTTGCTCATTGCCTAAGAGATTATATAAGGTTTGGCTTGGAAGTGCTTCGAGCCATTCATGCCTACCATATTTATCGTTTTGCATGTCGTTAATATTGGTGGGGTTGAGGCTATTTTGTAGTTTCTTTATTAGGGGTTCGAAAATAGATTTGTTGGAAATTTCGGTTCGAAATGTAAAACCGTCTGGGGTAAGTTGATTCCATCGTTCTTGCTGCTGTTAAAAGGTCATCATTGGGAGTTATGAATGATGAGATCACTGAATTGAGGGATAAGCGAATTGAGATAAATAAAGATAGGGATAATAGTTGTAAAGGAACCAAGTCGATGACAACTAGTTTAGCAGGTACGTGGACAAGGTGTCAAAAATTTTCATAAATTTTTAATAATTAAAATATATTGTATTTCATATCAAATCAACTGAAGATTCAACCCGACCCTTTTCTATTTTATTAAAATTTTTATGATGGTAGTATATACACTAACTATTAAAAATATAAAATAATTCCCAACTCACCTTACTTCATGCATATGGCCATCTTTAGAAATGCAAAAATTCCAAAATAGACTATATTTAGTTTTAAATACCTCAAAAAGTAATTAAATTAAAAACATAATTTAAATTTTATTAAATAGCTCTAAAAAACCCCTTTTATATGATATAAAAATTATTTTATTGGAAATAAGTCTATTACTAAAAACCGGAAATAGAAAAGAGAAAATGCCTATAAGATAAAAATTGCTCTTTTTTTCTTTTAAATTTCTTACAGATAAACCTTATACATTATAATATTTGCACAAAATTCTAAACTGGTACGAGTACTGGCCAAGAGTTATACTTTGAATAAAAGTAGTATGGCTAAAATCGTTCATAAATATCATTCATATTGAAATTTATAGTAATTTTTTCAAAGTTTCAAAATAAATAGAAAATTTTAAATTTTTACATATTAAAAAATAGGATAGTGGACATTGATGATCTCTGGGTTAGGCCTAGTATATTTAAAAGAAGTTTGACCGTATCAGGCTTAAATTTTAAATAAAAGAAATAAATTTTAAAATTCTTGGATGAAATAAGTAGCAAATATAATTTTATTTGTTTGTAGAATGATCATGATAATTTTGTTCAGTGTAATGTAAAACTGTATTTAAAAAAATAATAATTTCTATATAATATTCGAGCCGGGGACAAATAATATCTATTTCGGGCCTGATTTTTCGGCAAAAATAAAAAGATATTTGTTTGGGATATATTTCTTAGGCTCTATGCAGATCATTAATAGACATTGTGTCATATTCAACACATAGGTTTAGCTATTTTATTTTAGAAGGAAAATGTAAAAATATACTTAGGAATTCATTTGGCCGTTAAAAATCTATTTTCGAGAGTGATTTCCATTCATAAATTTTTAACGTTGCTGACAAATATATATAATACGCGGCATATAAATTCCCGCATAATTATATAAATCCATAGGTGTTAGTATATGATTTTTCATAAGGACGTTGCAGGCTTGCTATAGCCACTTACCTCTTAGTAATTCCCCCCAAACTATCGCAAAGAGTTATACCAACATGCAGTTGCAAAAAATTTCACTCTACCTTGATCTAAAAATTATTATAATGTTTGTAGAGGTTAATAAAGTTTTTTTGTCTTTATTCGATCTTTATCTGGGTTGAAGAGATTATTAAGCTTAACCTTATTATTTATTCCTTATAATGCTTCCAAATTAAAGCGGTTCGCATTATATTTTATACAATACAATTTGGTAAATGTTATTCAAAACACTCTGATTTTTTAGGATTTTCGTTTTAATGCTATTATTCAAATATATTGTCCACTTTAAAAAAAAATAAACTACTATACATTTGGTAATATAGGGGTTAAGTCATACTGCACTTTTTATTTTATAACATTTCCTGTTATCTATTTTCGGTCTTTGGTAAAAGACTTATTTTCAATAAAATAAATTTTATATCATAAAGGGTTATTCTATAGGTTTTAAACAAAATTCAAATCATGTTCTTAGCCGAGATATTTTAAATTAAATATTGTGTATTTTAGAATTTTCGCGTTTCTAAAGTGGGCCGTATCTCATGATGTAAGCCAATTTGAAAAGTAAGAGTTTACATTTTTATTTGTCAGTGTATATTCTACTAACATACAAATTTTTAAAAAAATTGAAAGGGTTGACATAAGAATCAACTTTTTTTGGTTGATTTAATATGATATTATTAAAACTATGCAACTGCAAAATTATCACCTAGGTAAATTTTTTCATGTTCAAATAAGGTATCAAAGTATCTTGTTATTCAACATGATTTATTATATTTAATAAAATATATCTTAGGCGTTAGGCCTATTGCATCATGCATCTCCATTTATGGAAACTTAACAGTTCTTTGTATCAAGATAGAAGATCTCTGTTTATGTTTTTATTACAATATTTAGTTGTAACCAAAAACTTACCATTTTAATTCTATGATGAATATTGTGTTTCCATCGCTAATATGTCTAATTTACGTATTTTAAAGCCTAATTTAATCTTTCATTATTTTGTAATGTTATAAACGTTTTTTTCTTAAACTATATCGAATGGTATAATATATAAACTAAATTTCAAATAATTTTGTAGAAGAAAAATATCATTAAATGTAATCTTCATTGACTAGTTTCTATGGTAACTTATCTCCCAATTATAAAAATATCTTTAGATAATATTTCTCCCAATTATAAAAATATCTTTAGATAATATTTCTCCCAATTATAAAAATATCTTTAGATAATATTTCTCTGAAGAAGAGGTTTACCGATTATATGAACTCTATCTCGTATGATTCTATCTTTCAAATTAGTACTCTTTACACATCCTCTATTTTGAGTAAGCTAAAAAAAGACCGAGATTTTTAATTTTATTATAATGTCTAAAATAGTCGATAGACTTGTGGCTAATTGATTTGCTATCTTTCTGCCAGAATTTTTTCTTAGGTATTTTAATAATGATATCATTAGGCACATTTGTAGTCTTATCTGTTACCTCTACTCATTTTAAGAAAATAAAAATTAAAAAGTTTACAAATTGATTAGATTATAATATATAATTGTAAAAAATAAGTAACTAAACAATTTGCTAATTTAAAAAAAAATAGGATAGATAAAATATGGCCGAACATTGTAGTGATCATAATGTAGTGAACTGATTTTTTTCATAAGGTATACTTTTATATTTTCTTTATATTAGATATGAATTCAGCTAATAATTTTTTACTTTTATTAATATAAATATAAATATATATATCACAAAATTTTTAAAAAAAAGATTGATAACTTTTGTAAAAAAATTAAATGAATGTAAGTTAAAATCAAGGGGGAGTTATGAATCAGATGGGATAATATATAAATTATGAGAAATGTATTATATATATAAACTTTTCTCTTAAGCGATTCTTGCCTTGCCCACCTATAATATCTTCAGCGCCGGCCAATAGGTGATCCATGCACTAAAACAAAAAATATTTAAATTCTCCTATTTGAATATCTCAAAATATTTTTTGGTAATTTTAAAAATAATATATCATTTACTCTGTCGAACAGTATCGTGGCCATGTTTCTGTCTTTTTCTTGAGCTTTTTTTACTCTCAAAAATTCTACCAATGGTCTTATTGTTAACCCCTTATATAGATATTTTAAATTTTTAAAATTATTTAGCGTAAATATTATGAGCTTTGCTATTTAATTTAACAAACATATATTAAATAGTATATAAGAATCTATCCTAGAGATGGCGTTCTAGCTCATTTTTTTTATAGAATTCTAAACATATGTGTGAATAGTAAAATTTAGACTAAAAAGATAATAATAAATTGTAATATAAATGTAATTGTAAATTGAATTTAAATTGAATATAATATTAACTTTTCGTTTGTAAATTACATAACCTGAAGGATTGAATTTATTATATATATATACGTGATATTTTGTATTAAATATACTTTGACTTACTTTACTTATTTTACTTATTTAACAAAACACTTCATTGGCGACGATTTTTAGATAAGATTTATTTGATTTATTAAATTTAAAGTAAAAGACTCAATGGAAGTAGCTCCTATTAAAGTTGAAGATTCAATGGAAGTAGTTCCTATTAAAGTTAAAGACTCAATGGAAGTAGTTCCTATTAAATTCCATATTCCAGAATTCGTCAAAGAAAAAGTAAATATTCAGGACTACTTATTTAACTTGGAGTTAATTTATAAAGTAAGAAATATTATAGATTAAAATACAAAAAAAGACCTGCTTTTAGCCTATATCGGAACAGACAATCTTATCAAAATTAAAAACTTTCACTTTCCAATAAATTTAGAGATGATAAATTATGATACTTTAATAAAAAGCTTAAATTTGGCGTTCAAGGATAGTTCGAGCATTTTCGTAAATAGGAAAATTTTTTTTACGCTAAAAAGATGCAGTGAGACGATTATTGAATTTTCAATTAGGGTTAAAACTGTCTGTTCTCTTTGTAATTTTAAACCGCCTTTTGATGAACTTTTAAGAGATATATTTATCCTAGGAGTAGGCTTACCTGAGTTGGACAAAGAACTTCGGTCAAAGTATATCGAAGGCAATATTACTTTTGAAGAGACCGTGCGTTTAGCGATCGCGCTGTCTTCGTTGGAAAATGAAACCCAGACTGAAGTTAATAAAATAATTAAAAATAAGCCAACAGAGGGTTCGAAAAATAATTATTTTAGAAATAATAATTATACAAACGTCAATAGATTCAATAAATAAACACTTTAGTAATAATTATATTCCTAATAATAATTATAGACCTAGTATCAAACCTAACTCTATTCAAAAGAAAGTGATATGCTTTCGTTGCGGTAAGGCAAACCACATAGCGAAAGATTGTAGAACCCATGCCATACAAATGATTCTGCCACGGACACCTCGCCTGTCATTTTCAAATAAAGCAACCATCGATGCGAAGATAAATGGATTGCAGTTAGCTATGGAGTTACCGGCGCCGCGTGTAGAGTGATTGATGAGGTCACCTGGAATCGTATTGGCAGACCACAACTATCACTGGCTTATAAATTAGTGGGATATAATCATATCCAAATCGAAGTACTAGGTAAATGTACCGTAGAAGTCAAAGTAAAAAATATTTCGAAATTTTTACTTATTTGGGTAGTTAAAGGGGAGAATTCCCTTATTTTTGGGATGCCTTTCATTAGAGAATTTGATATAAAACTACCGGAAGAAGTTCGTATTAATAAAATAAATATGAATGTTCCCTCTTTAAATACGATTGCTTCAAAATTCCCTCAAGTTTTTAAAAAAAAATTAGGTGAAATCAAACTGCAAAAGGCAGTCATCCGAATAGAACCGAACACGTTACCGATTGCATTACCAGCAAGAAGAGTTCCTTTTCCGTTGCGTCGAACCATTGAAGCTGAGTTGGACAGACTTTTAGACGAAGGCGTTATCGAGAAGGTGGATCCAACAATAACTCCAATCACTTGGGCTACGCCAACGGTTAATATCTTAAAGAAATCCGGTGCCGTACGGATATGCGGAGATTTCGTTTAACAATCAACAAATATCTAGCGATCGATAACGATTTACTACCAACTTTCGTCGACCTAACAAATAAGATCGCGGGTGGTAAAATATTTTCAACAATAGATTTAAGTGATGCATTTTTACAATTCGGAGTTAGTCCAGAATGTAGGGACCTTTTAGTAATTTCGACACATGTCGGTTATTACCGATACCAAAGAATTCCATTTGGTTTGACTAGCGCTCCGATAATATTCCAACGCTTTATGAAAAACCTATTAAAGGGAATTCCTATGGTTAGTGTATTTTTAGACGACATAATTATTGCAGGTGAGAATAATTCCGATCACATAGTTAATTTGGAAGAAGTATTAAGAAGATTTGAGAAGGCTGGACTGACCACGACGACCGATAAAATTAAAATTGGAGAAAAGTCAGTCACTTATTTAGGTCATGTTATTGACAGTTTCGGAATGCACCTTACAGAAGATAAGATTAGCGCTATAAAAAATTTTAAAACACCTTCCAATGTTAAAGAACTACGTTCATTTCTTGGAATGGTGAATTATCATGAGGCATTTATTAAAAATTTGCATTCTATTTGTGCGCCTTTACACCGACTAACGAGTAAAAATGTTGGTTGGTTTTGGCCAGCTAAAGAAAATGAAATATTTACTAAAGTTAAAAATATATTGTCAAAAGAAGATACAATAATTCCTCATTCAGCCGATATCCCTGTCGTGATTACTTGTGACGCTTCCAAAGATGGTCTAGGAGCTGTTATTGCACACCGATTTCTTACTGGCCAGGAGAAACCGATTGCTTACGCATCGAGGACACTTTCGGCGGCTGAAAAGAATTATGCCACAATTGATCGGGAGGCTTCGGCCATCATGTTCGCTATCGAGAAGTTTCATCAATATATTTTTGGAAGACATTTTATCTTGGTTACTGATCATAAACCATTACAATATATTTTAGGTGATAAAAGAGATCTTAACAAAATAACAAATAACCGTTTAATACGGTGGGCGACGAAGCTATTAAATTATGATTATGAGATAATATATAGACCAGGTAATCAAAACAAATGTGCCGATGCTCTGTCCCGTTTGGGGGTAGAGAAAGCAAAAACCAATGAAGTTACAAAAAAATTCGAAGAAGAAATCAGAGGATTAAAAATTAATTAATAGAAGATTTATCTTTCACTCGCAGTAAAGTCGTAAGTGAAACGAGCAATGATATAAACCTAAAAGAGATTATTAAATTAATTAAAAATCATTGGTATATCGATAATATAAATAATTATTCGGAGATTGTAAAAAAATATATTTCGATTAAAGATAATATTTCGTTCGAAGAAGGATTATTTTTTATAATGATAGAATTATTATTCCAGATATTTTAAAAAAGGAGGTTTTAAATGTGATTCATCGAGGACATCCTGGGATAGTGGGGATGAAATCATTATGTAGATATTACGTTTTTTGGACAAATCTCGATACTGATGTTGAAGACTTTGTTAAATGTTGTAAGAGTTGTCAAGAAGGAAGGCCGGGAGCTAAAGAAGTGCCATTATACAATTGGAACATTCCTACCCGACCTTGGGAACGAATACACATTGATTTGACAGGCCCCGTCTCTGGAAAGTATTGGTTAATTTGCGTAGACGCTTTTACCAAATGGGTTGAAGTTGCAATTTTAACACATATTAATTCGGCGAGTGTAATAAATAATCTGCTTAATTATTTCGTTAGATTTGGGTTACCTCGCTACATTGTCTCAGATAACGGTACTCAGTTTACTGGATCTGAATTCAAAACGTTTTTTTTTAAAAAACAATATAAAACATTTTAGATCGGCCCCTTATAGCCCCAAATCGAATGGTTTGGCTGAACGATATATACGGACGATAAAGACGCGTTTCTATGCTGGAAGGAGATGTGGCACTCCGGACCAGTTAAATTTAGCGAATGTTTTAATTACTCACCGTAATACTCCCAATGCAACTACTGGTAAATCCCCTGCCGAGATGATGTTTGGAAGGTCGCTTAGGACGACATTAGATCAGTGGAAATTATCAACGAGAGAAAGGACGGAAAACGCTCTATGGAAACAAAAGTACTACAAAGATAGAAGTTTTGAACCTCGGGAGTTTGAAGAGCAGCAAAAAGTTTGGATAGCAAACGAAAGGACAGCAGGGTGGCATGAAGGAAAAGTGTTACAACGAAAAAGCGCAATATTGTACGATGTGGAATCAGAGGGGATCGTTAAAAACAAGCATGCAGATCAATTGAGGGATGCACATACACAAGAGAAGGAAATACCCGTTACGTTGACCGAAGAAGTGGAAAAGGCAGAACATGAAAATACAACTCTTGAAAAAAGAGTTTCGAAACCCCCATTACGGTATCACGATGAATAGTGGGGAGAACTGTAATATAAATGTAATCGTAAATTGAATTTAAATTGAATATAATATTAACTTTTCGTTTGTAAATTACATAACCTGAAGGATTGAATTTATTATATATATATAGGGGAGACCGGGGTAAAACGATAGACATTTTGCATATTTACCATAAAAATTTTAAACAAGAGTCAAACACAACAAATTATAGATCAATGTGTAGCCCCATCTCTCTTCTACAAGATAAAAAAAAGTGTAGCCCTCTACCTATAATATTTTAGGAGCTATGATTAGTTATGTAAAACTACTCATTTTCGCCATTTTACTCTGGGTACAGGGTAAAATGGATAAGCACTAGGATAAAGTGGTTAAAATAATATTTGACACATATTTATTGTTTTATTTAACAAATATTACAAATTTAAGATTTATTTATGATTTTTATTTAAAAACTAATCGATACAATAAGGACATGTAAAATAATTATCATAATTAGCACATTTAGAATGTGCCCATTCAAGGCACATTGTACATTTTAGCCATTCATCGCCCTCGCGACTATTTTTATAGTTTTTATTACAAATAACACATAAACAATTATTTTTTGATATCTTTTTTTTTCTCTGAATTAATAATTTTTTTTTATAAGGTGTAGATGTTAATATTTCTGAATTCTTTTTTTTAGATATTTTATCCGATGAAATATTGAATAATTTTGGAATAGGTATTATAGATGAAGGATTGAATACTTTATTATAATTTTTTGAGCATGATGGTAACATATCATGATAAGGTTCATCAATATCATCTGGAATATTTTCGTTCAATAATATAGATAAATCACTATCATTATTTTGAGTCACTGTAAGATTTTGAGTCACTCTAATATTTTCATCATTATTTTCAAATTCAATATTTGAGTTAGCATTTGAATTATTACAGCAGATATAATCTTGTTCTGTAAATATATTTGGGTTTAAAGGAAATATGCCACATGCTAAGAATCCATTTAATATATTATTTGTGTCACTGCCCTTGGTATTTCATTTTTTAACACTCCTGGAATATCATAAATCTGAAATTGTTGCCCCACATGATTTTTAGATTGAGCATTATTAAAATTATGAAATACAATATAATTTCAATTGAGCATTTTTATTAAAGTCACCAAATTAATAATATTTAGATTGAGCATTATTAAAATTATGAAATACAATATAATTTCAATTGAGCATTTTTGTTAAAGTTACCAAATTAATATTGATATTTAGATTGAGCATTATTAAAATTATGAAATACAATATAATTTCAATTGAGCATTTTTATTAAAGTTACCAAATTAATATTGATATTTAAATTGAGTTATTAAAATTATGAAATACAATATAATACAAACAATATAATTTAATTACTTGTTAGGCGTTAATCCCATAAATGACCTACTTGCTTCTAATATGTAGTCACACAATCTAGATTCTTCTTCATTTGTAAATATTTGTTTATGATGATCTGAACTTTTAATACCAATTTTACATCTCCTTCTCAACGTTGTATAAGGTATGTTAAATTTTTTAGCAGACAAATTTAATGAAGTATTATTTGTTATTTTATATTTTATGGCTTCATTTATTATATTTACATCTCTGTATATGGTTTTTCTTTTATAATTTCTCATTATTTGATTGATACAATAAAAATTATAATAAATGAATTAATGAAAAATTAATGTGAATATTTTATATTTTAACCGTTTTACCCATAACAGCTTTACCCCTAGGTGACATATATTATAAATATCGTTATTGCGTGACTTCTAATATAGCTAAAGATGTCAGATAAATTTTATTTTATAGCTAATACATTAAGAAACATGTGTGCCAAATTTTGAATCCTGAGGATATGTAAATTTTACTAAAAGCAAAATATACTAGAGAATGATTTTTATATTTTTTGGGTAAAAAACAGTTTTTTGACAAAATATATAAAACCAGGTAAGTTTTTTAAAAGATGAACATAGGTAAGAAATTAGATATAAAAATACATCTTCACACCAAATTTAAGGTCTTTATACTCAATGGTTAAAAAGTTATTCGCGTTAACATTGTTACCCCGTCAATCGCTTTACCCCGGTCTCCCCTACGTGATATTTTGTATTAAATATACTTTGACTTACTTTACTTATTTATATATTTAAAAAAAACTAAGTATGTTCTTGCTTTTCTGAATAGATTTCAGAATCAAGAAATGATTAAAACGATCAAGGACATAGGTATATTACTTGAAAAATACATTTTCCTAGAACTTATAAAAATGATAAAAGTTAAATTAAAAAAATAAAGTAAATAATTAAATGAACAGATACTATATTTGCATTACCTGAAAGAACGAAGTGAAAATGACTACGGTCATGGTTGTTGTTACAAACATTCTTTTGTTCTGTTGCCCTAACACATCTTCATTTAAGAGAAGGGCTAAAGAAAATGAAATAGCACCTCTTAATCCTCCATAGATCATAATAAAGATATCAACTTTGCTCAATTTAGCTAATCTATATCTATTAATGAAAGGAATGAGAACCAAGATACCTTGCCAATTTTTTCGAATAAAATTAATTATATTTACGCATGAATGAAACTCATTAAACATTTATATAATATACATTGTTGTGCTCATTTAATGTAACATAATGAGGATTTAATTTAAACACATGCATCAGGCGCGTAACCAATGAGGGGGGGGGGGAGGGAGAAATCCCCATCCATCGCAAATTTGACTGTTTTCATAAATATCATTTTAAGCTAATAAAAATTTTACCCTCCACCCTTCCACTACCCCCCCTCCCCCCAATCAAAATTTTACAAATGTTTGAATATCAATTTTCCAACATAAAACTTATTTTTTATAAATATATTTTATTAAAATTTCCTTTCCTTGTTAGTACATTAACATTATTCAAAAATATTAATAAAATGGAAAAATTTTAAGTCAAAGAGATTGAAATCAAATGGTAATTTATTTTATTATTATATATAATTATTTTATTAAATTCAAAATTATTAGTAAGTTAGAATTAATAAGTATTTTTAATATTAATTATCAATAAATATCTATAATTTTTTTAATATTTTATTTTTACCTCGATTTTGTAGAACAAAAGAAATAGAAATACAAAAGTTAAATAAGGCTGAGCATGAAAAAAGGTAATGTGTCGTCAGAAGCGATATCATTATTGAATTCAATTGATCAATCAGAGTTTATCATTGCTGCTAGTTGCATCAATAAATTATTTTCCTATAGCTCACTACTTTGTAGAAATTTACAAAAACCAAATTTAGATTTGGTTCAGGTTATTGATTTGGCGGAAAATATATTAACAGGTAGATACAATAAGAATGAATGTAGATGAATATTTTCATAATATTTATATAGACGTTGAATCGAAGGCTAAATTTTATGATATAACACTAATTAAACCTCGTCTAGCACCTGGGCAATTATTGAGATGAAAAATAAATATTGGCTCAACTGAAGAATATTATAAAATATCCACTTTCATCCCATTCTTAGATACTTTTTTATCGCAAATAAAAGTACGGTTTTTAGATAAAAAACAAGTCTTTAGAAGATCCATAATCGTTTTCTAATGCCACTATTGGTAAAATTAAATATTTAGAAAAATTTTATTTCTATGATTGAAATAAATTTAATCAGTGAATTCGAATTGTGGTATAAATATTTACTACGTTTAGCTATTTTACCTGAGTAAATAGAAATATAATTATTATTAAATTATGAATAATTTACATAAGACCCGGCAAAGGCCGGGGGAAAGCTGGATAAGAAGGGTTTGAGAACGAATACCCCCCCCCCCCCCATAAGAGAATCCTGGATACGCCACTGACATGTATATATAATTAAATTATTTCTTTTGTTGTACATTTGTGATCATAATTATATATGCATGTGTTTAAATTAAATCGTTAATATGTTACATTAAATCATCACAACACTGTATAAAATGTGAACTCTATTTACAAAAAATGAAGGTTCAATTATTGATATTATACCTATAGCCCGATAGAACAAACAAAAGAATAGTGTAAAAAGGGTAAAAGCGGTGTTCCATATGTGGATATCGACCACAGTTGATAGTCCTAAAAACAAGAAAATTATGCTTTCGCAAATGCTACTCAAAGTCTTCATGGTGTATTTGACTGTTATATTTGATTTTAAGGCTATGTTAGCTTCCACAAACTGTCGCATTATTAAGCCACAAAATACGATTCTTTGAAAAGATAATTATAAAATAAAATTATTTTTTATTAAATTTTTTTTATTGATGATAGAAAAATTTATGGTTATGGTAAAAGTGAGTTATATCCGGCTTTTTAAAATTAAAACATAAAGTGATTTTTTACTTTTTGATAAATTATATTGCATCTTCTCTAATATGCAAGGGCTCGTTTATTGTTTAAATAAGGATTAACTTTAAGCTAACAAAAAGCTTACGCTAAAATTCCTGAAAGCGTGAACATATCGGCTACGATATACGATAAATATGCTAACAAGAAAACGAAAAGAGGCTCTATAATACGAATTTTGTCGGTGTACCTTTTCATGGTTTTTAAATGAGTATCATTAATTATATAAATTATACGAGGAATATATGCAAACAGCAAAACATTTATCCTATTTCACAAACTAATCATTACTATCGATTCTCAAACTATCTAAAATAAAAAACTCTTTTACCGACGCAGATTGTTTGAATAGGGTTAGGGTTTTAAGAAATTAATTTAAATTCTTGTTAGAATATTTTAAAAGATAGTTGAAGAAAATATCAAAACCTTTTAATATATACGCATGATCATTATATAAAAATATAATGCTTATGTACTTAGTAAGCCAACCTGTGAATAATCCGAACAAAATGCCGATCAATGTTCCGCCAAAGGCCACTACTCCAAAAGATATTACGCCAAATACGATGTCCCTCGTGATTATGTTTTCCAAGCCAATTTCACTAAAAGACCCAAACATATTGTATAACACCTGATAATCGTAAATATATTTTTATAAAAGCTAGTAAAAAAAGGGGGATAGTAAATACAAGGAGGAAGGGAATTCTAAGAAAAGGGCAATAAAGAAATCGAATAAAAGAATATCAAAAACGGTTCTTTCTTTATTATCCCGATAAGGAGAATACAGGCGCGTACGCAGGAATTTGGTCTGGGGGGGGGGGGGAGATAATAATTTTTTTTAATAAATATTATTGTTATTTAAAAATATTGAGCATAAATTTATTAGGACTTATAACTTTTCTAATACACAATTTTAAATTAATTTGAATTACAAAAAAATTATATATATAAACGGGCATTGAAAAACTATAAAATAAATATGAATTATAAAATATAAAGTGAATATAACCACGATATGAATCACTTAAATGACCCAAAATTGAAATTTGAATTTTTTGAGCCTTTAAAATTTATATATAAAGTATAAAAAATTTAAATGTTGGAAATATAAATTAATAAACAAAAATTTTCTTAGGAATAATTGTATTTTGTATGTTTTGAGCTAATTTTTCAATTATCTGTCCTTGTTTGGCGTCAAATGCCTATGAATATTCAAAAGATTCAAATCATTCAATCTACTTTCAGAAGTTGTATTTCATAGGTATGTTTTTCAGAGACTTGCAGGTCCGGCCCCCGAGCTGGATCGTATTATAATTTTTTTAAACATACCCGGGCCGGGCCAGAAATTTTATTTTCAAAAAAACCAGGGCCGAAATTATTTTTTAAAAAAAATCCGGGCAGTGTTCTGAAAATGGTACCTCTGCAGGGCTCTGTTATTATTCTTTAAAAAGAGAATGTTCTCTCATTAGTTTACTAATGGGAAGAGTTGTTAATATATATAACCATTTTAATACATTGGGAATATAATCTAAAATGTGTTTGAAATAATGCAAAGCATCCATAGCATTTTTGGGACTGTATCAACCATAGTTAATCTTTTAATCATAGTTATTCAGCTAATAAGGCATCATAAGATACTTTAACATCTTCATGATAAAAATCTAACAAATTTTTTTTTCCTATCACCATCTGAAAAAGGTTGGAAAGTCTTTTGTGGAAGTAATATCTGCGGATTGGTAAGTGCTGCTTGATGAATTAAAAACCATTCATTTATTTGGGTTATAAATGTATCTAAGAGATCGGACATTTGTTTTATAATACTCTTCTACTGATCCTATATTAATGTTTTGACGATGAGCTTGCTTGCTGCAAGTCGAGGTGGACAAATTTAAACATGTATAACTCTGCTTTTGTGACTCAACAATAACATATAAAATATGTTTTTCATCAACATTAGCTCTAATTTTCTTGAGTTCTAATAAAATGCTCTCCGCTATTCTCATCTTCTTAATCAAGTAAATGTCATGTTTTTGAAAAGTATTACATAAAATAGTTGTATAATACATTCTAATGGAAAAAAAATTTGGAATAAGTATTGAATCCAATAATTTTCTTGCTTCTGAAGAAATATTTCTTTCAAGCCATTGTGATATTTCAGTAATAGCATTAATAATCGGCTCTTCTAACCCCATAAAAGCTGTTATGCTTTATGGCGGAAACTCGATCTCGTTGGACAAGCTTGGAATTTCTTTCTTCCTGTTGGACAAGGAGTTTCAGAGATAATTATTATTTGACTAGAAATTTGGATAAATAATACGCCACTAAAATTTGAAAATAATAGGTAAATTACGCCAAGGAAAACTTGAAATCGAAATTAATTGATAAAATAACTTAGTAGATGAAAGTGATAAATAAATATAATAATATATATATGAGATAGGAATAAATATTAACAAATATAAATTAATATTTTTGAAAAATATAATCCATCATCTGCATTTTTGGGCTTGGGAGGGGGGGTTGTCCATCTTCTTCTCCCCCCCTCTCTGCTGCGTACGCGCTTGTTGGGAGAATATAATATAGAACTAGAACCATTTTTATTGATTTAGATGATTTGGAAATTACTTACTTATTGTCTTTTTATAAAGTAATATTATAAAAATAAACTTACTATGGCCACACCATCGTTCAACAATGATTCCCCAAAAACGATAATATGAAGAACCTCATTAACGTTTGCCTCCTCAAAAACAGATAAAATGGCTACTGGATCAACGGCTGATATTAAACTGCTAAAGAGAAGACAGTGCATGAGTGGTACATCGACTCCAATTATACCTTATAAGAATAAGATATATTAAGTATATTCAAGATTTTGCCATTGTTTCGGTGGTGAGATGTTAAAGAATTTATTTGAGAATAGATTAGTATTTCATAAATAAAATTATATTTATATAAATTTTTATTAACCATTATAAAGTTATCATTATGAAAAACCTATATATAAAAAATTTCCTAACCTACCTCAATAAAAAACGTATGCCTTGATTTATTTGTTCATCTATTTCTAAAATTTTTAAAAATATTGAAATGGTTAACCCTTTCTTTTAGAATATGTAATATAGTATAATTCATTAAGCATATAAAGAACTTGAAAATATTCAATTATCATCAGCCCTTTCAGAAATACGAGATAAATAACAAATAGAGAGAAATTCACTATTCGAATCTTATTATTATTTTAAATTTCTTTTGAATATACTTTTAATTAATTAAATATAAAGATTATCTGCTATCAAAATTAGAGTTAACTTTTCATAGCATAGTGAGACTATGCTGACCCCATTCATTAAAAAAAATTCTTATAAGTAGTGATTATTAAGTAGGTTAATAATTTTATGTAAAATATATGCCTGCAAAATTATTTTTGGTTTCACTCAATAGTTTCTGATTATACTTGTTTTTTTTAGTATATTTGGTGTGGCCATAGACCTACTTTAATTTTTGGAACTTATTTTTGTTTTAGCATTGAAATATATAATCTATAAAAAAATTTACATAATTTTTATTTATTAAAAATTATATTTATAAGAATTTTTAAACCTTAGAGAAATATTCTATTTCATCCATTTTATTTATAAATTTTTTATATCATATTATGGCATTCAATTTTTTTTGTAAGTTCTTTAACATTTTTGAGAAACTGTTGACACCAACGTTATACCTCATTTAATCTAATAATAAGTCAGCTTAAAAACGGCTCACTCCCAAACATTCTCGAACCTACCAATCTATCATTAGAGCATAGGCGCATCCAGGATTTTGTAAAACAAATAGCCCTCTGAGTTAAGGAAAAAATTAACGTCTCACTGTAAGCTCAGACTTAATATATGGTTTCCCCTACCATTCCTTCCCATATCTAATTTTAAATGGGACCCTAAGTTATAGATGTGAAGTCTGATTTTATAACCTCATGATTAAGCTAAGGTAGTGTCAATTAATATGTATAATCAGATAAGAGGACTAAAAATTCATAGGAAGTGATCATCAAACATAATTTTTATGGCCTTTGACATCTGGATGTTTACCAATTTATTTATACTGGTGATTAGTGATCTGCATCGGGCCTAATTTTCAAGCCCAGCCTGGCCCGAAAGTTGTTTTAATAAAATTTTGCCAGCCACCCGAACCCGAACCCGAAATATTTTTTTAAAAGTTTTGCCGGCCCAGCCCTAACCCGAAATTTTTTTTAAAAATATTTACCGGCCTGGCCCGGCCCGGCCCGAATTTATTTAAATATAAAAATTAATTTTTTTAATTACTCAAAGTAAAGGATATATGTTATATGGCGTCTAGTTTCTATAAATAAAATCGAATATTTTTATTTTACATTAAAAATTTAACATAAAATTGATAAATTTATATATATTAAAAAAAATTTCCAAAGCTCGACTAGACTCGGCCCGAGTTTTTAAAAAAAATATTAGGCTCGACCTAGTCCGAACCCGATTTCTTTTTAAAAAAATAGGGCCTGGTTTGGGCCGGGCCTACTTTTACAGATCTCTACTGGCGATAGTATTTTTATTTTATATTCATAAACTCAATTATATTGCTATTCAATAGATGTTTCAAGATTTAATTTGCTTACTAAATAATTATGTTAGACCTCTCAATTAAGACTAATTTTTAATTTAAAATAAAATCAATGTAATCTTAATAAATACAAGAATATTCCTTATATAAATTCATGTCATATCAGCTAGAATATAAACTTTTAAAATATCCTCATTTAGAAGAAAATATGAAAACATTTAATTTTTACATTGTAAAATAAAATAAAAACTTTAAATATTAATTTAACATTCTCTAAAATTCGAGTTACATATGATCCTTAAACTGATTGAGTGTATTGTATGATACTATAAATATTTATTTGAAAGATATCTTAGTCTAATATTATAATATACTGTTTAGAAAAATTCTAAGAAACATAAAAATGATTGCAATAGGTTCTTGCATTTTCGATAAATCTTAAAAGTGATTTCAGAATTTAAAAAATATTTGGTTGACCCCAGTTAGATTTTAACAAACTTATATAACTTGTCATTAAACTCATTCCTTTAAAGTCTTCGACTTAAAAACTGAGAAATTCATCCTCAGCATTTACATATACTGCTAGGCTTGGAATCGTCAGAGTTTAATTTAAAAATATTGGTCTGAATATTTTAGCTAATAAATTTCTGTCAATATAATATGAATGATATAAAATTTGAATGAGTCATATTTTACGACACTATATAAATATTTTAGTACCTGTTCTAATGATACCCCACAATGAAAAACCCATAGCCAATGTATTCCACAGGGTTCCTACCACTGCAAGGAGTAATATCGTGCCTATATTTTCAAAAAAAGGCCGGAGTGGCATGAAGTATCCTGCATCTAACACAATAGGCGGAAGCAAAAAAAGAAAAAAGAGAGAGGTCGAAATTGTGTAATTGATACCTTGGATTTTGGAATAAAATAAAACTAAACCCGTTACAACGCCTAATAGTAGAAGCATACAAGACTCCGGAACGTAAGAAGACGGCTTTGGTGATAAATAGAAACCTTAAAATTTTTCAAACATTAGTTTAAATTTTAATATGTATTTTTTTAAAGATATAATTTACATTTTAAAATTTCTTGCAACAAGGTATCATTTCAACTTCAAGTATTATTTTCTAACTTGTATTTTAAACTTATTTTACATATCTATCACAAAGGTCGAAGTTATATTTTAAATATAAAATTGAGTTAGAAATGATGCTTTATGAGTTAAAATATTATATAAAAAATTATTTAAATTGAAAAAAATATAATATACAAATTAGATCTAAACTCTATCAAAGATGAAACTGAAATGAATTTGTTATCTTAAACTTTTGGTATGAGAATTATAACTCACAATTTTTTATATTTTTTCATGTTCCCATTAATAAAAATGTGAGAGCTCGAGAAACTAATAATTATTTTAGTGAAAGTCAATAGTCCAGTCCTATTAGTCTTAGACCGATAGGAACAAAACGATTGATAATGTGGTTCTTTTAAAGACTGCTGTCCGGACTAGCAAAAATAATAAAAGGGAGTTAAGATAGGTGGACTTTAAGAACTATTATTTTTTAAGATCTTTTTGGTCCGGTAATAATTTGGCATCGGGCATTCATTGAGAAATTTAAAAGTAATTTTCAAAGTAAAAAACTCATATTTTAATTTTTTTTTAACTCTTCAATTAGATATTCGTTTTAATTATAACGAAAACTTTGTCTTAATAATATTTCAAAGGATTTATATTTTATTTCTCTAATAAAAACCAATATATTATGTAAAATATTGTATTAGTTCATTTTGATTTATAACAGTGAAATCAATTGAATTAAATTTAATTGCTTATTTAAATTTTATATTCAAAAAAAATTTCATCAATGTGATAACTTTTAATTTAAAATGTTTGTAATAAATCTAACAAAAATATTTGGTAGAACATTCAGAAAATAAAATTAAATGCTAAAAATATTTGAAAAATAAAAATATATTAATATATTAAAAAAGAACACTACAGGCTAAAATAATAGAATTTAAATGATAGCGCCATGAATAAATATGCAATGCAACTTTATTAAAAAATCCGAGTTTATATCCTTTGGTAGAAGTAAAATTCTTCTTGCGGCTAATGATAGAATTAGAGTTTAAAAAAATCTCGGTTAAAAATAAAGTTTAATTTTTTTTAAAATTATAAACAAATCTAGTGAATTCTCGGAATGAATTGGGTTAAATAACACTTCTTTTTAGACTATTTTATAATGTTATGGTTCGGAAAATTGTAACGTTTTATTCCACTTTTGCCATTAAGTAAGGAGCACTCCGTATTATATGGACAGTTTTTTCAAATAGTATTTATGGGTTAGGTCCAAAGGAATTAAAATAAATTTATATATTTTTACGCTTTAAGTTATTAAATTAAACCATGACTAAGATTATTAGTTTGTTTTAATAATTGTTTGAAATTGTATAACTCAATATATATAAAATTTGAATAGAAGTATAGTGAATCAATCTCAAGATAGATATTGTAACACAATGAAAAATTTTAACTTCTGACTGATTTCATTGTATATAATGTCATAAGTTTTAAAAGAATCAAGAAATATCCAGGATCCTCAAATGTTTTAAATAAATATCCATAAAAGAATGATAGTACAGTATTATCCCGGTTCAATAATGATATAGGGAATTTTTATTCCAAAACGCGTTTTAAGCGTGTTTTCCTTTATTAATTTTGATTTTATTATTATTGTTTTTAAATTCTATTTTTAAAGTTGTTTTTCTTGGCCTTATGAAAGTAAATAGGTTGAATAAGGTATCAATCGTTAGCTAATCAAAAGATCTATTCAATTATAGGTCAACTTCTCACTCAAAGGCTAATTTAGGTTGATATGAGCATCAAATAAAGGCTAATTAAAATGACTGAAGTAATAGCATTCACCTTTGGTATTAACAGGGTATTACTTGGTCTGACGGAAGGGGGCTGTAATAATTTGATACGGATACAAATAAAAGATATTTTAATTTAAATATATTTTATTAGCAATAATAGCATTTACATTTGTTTTCATTGGGTGCGGGGTGGATGGAGGCTGGAGAAAATAATATATTGATCTCAAACCGAAGTTAATAAAAAATGTTTTAATAATTTGTTTTTAATTAATTATGACTCTAAGTGACCCGTTCTATATCCTAGGAGGGGGGGGGCAAATTTTTATTTTTTTTATGACATAAACAATGAGGGTCATAAATGAAGAAAATTTATCTTTTGACTGCAATGATAGTATTCATATTTGATTTCAATGGTAAGATTGGGAGGGGGGGGGGGTTAAATATAAAATTTAATATGGGCATCAAATAAAAGGTAATTTTAACTTTTTAAAACATAAAAATAATATAGGGGTATCAAATAAAGACAATTAAATATTTTTTGACTGCAATTAAATTAGGATTATTTTATTCGACTAATTTTATATCATTTGATTTAAGTTTCAAATTAAAGCGAAATTATACATATTTATACTGCAATATTAATAATCTCTCTAAGCAAGTTAGATCACAAGGTGTCAGAATTACTTTAAAAAAACTTTTATAACATAATAGTTAAGAGATTTACTCACAACATAAATCGAAAATTTTTGACTCATATGAAGTCCCATCCATTAGGACCATAATTGATATTTCATTCAAATCAAAATATATTTTTAATCGGCTTTCATGATATATCCTTATTAAATAATATGTTATAAAACTTAAAATTCTTGACTCCCTTAATCAATAGATATTTTAAATACTTTTGTTTGATATCCATATTAAATTTTTATTTTTAAATCACCCCCCCCCCTCCCTTCCAGAAATATTTGACCCATTATGACAAATGTAAATATTAACATTGTAGTCAAAAGATATTTTAGTTAGATTTCATTTAATATCCATATTAAATATTGATGTTTAAAATAAATGTAAAATAAAATCATAGTTAACATTACAGCCAAAAAATGTTTTATTATTTGATACAATACATCAAATTATGTTTTAGACATTTCACTCCTCCCCCTCCCCGCACTATCACCAGGACATTATCTCATTCATTAAGACCAATGAATACTCTTATTGCACTAACTGATATTTTAAATATCTATCATTTAATATCGATATTAAATATTTATGTTATAAAATTAAAATTCTTGATTCCCCAAGTCTAGATGCACACATTAGGAGTAATAAATTACATTTCCAGAAGATATTTAAATTGTATTTTATTTGATATCCATATCAAATTTTCGTGTTTTAACCCTCCCCCCCCCCACACTGCCCCTCTGTAGTAAGTGTAATTTATAAGCGCTTAAATCAAATGTGAGGACTATCATTGCCTTTAAGTGGTATTTTAAGCTTTCATTCAATACGCATGTTATTGAATATTTATGTTATATAATTAAAAAATATTATTGGCCCCCAAAACCTAGCTTCAGCCATTTAGAGTAATAATTAATATTACAATGGAATTTTTTTAAATTGCCTTTTATTTGTTGCCAACATCAAATTTTTATCGTTTATCCCCCCCTTTTTTTATCCATAATTTTTTGGCCAAACTCGGTCCAGGCTTACAGTAAATTTTTTAGGCCCAGACCCGGCCCATATTTAATATAAAAAATCTCAAACCCGGCCAAAGCCCATATAAATTTCAAAAAAATTTCCCAAGAAGGCTCAAACCCATATCCAAAAATTTAATCTAGTGTATTTAACAAAAATAAACTATATTTAAGTGTATTTCGGCAATCATTTTGTTTACAATACTGAAAATAATAATTATTAGAAGAAAACAATGACTATCTCTTTAAGTTAACAACTGTTTAAAAATCGAAGTTAAAATTTAGCTCAAACACAGCCCAAGCCCATTAAAATAAAAATTCAAAAACCCAGACCCGGCCTGGCCCACTAGATAATATAGTATGCAGGCCGTGGGCAGACCCTGCCCATGAAGATCTCTGATTTAAATTACCTTTATGTAATGTCTATCAAAATATTGAGTGGATAATAAAAATATTCCCGATCCCAAAAGCTTAGACTGGCCCCTTAAAAGGGAGAAGTTGTCCTTCAATTGGATTAGCTTTTTGATTAGCTATCGATTGATATCTATATTAGATATATCTACTCTATAAGGCCAAGAAAAATAACTTTTGAAGATAAATTAATAATAAATATTAAAAATAATAAGCAATGCGAAATGCGCTCAAAACGCTTAATAAGATTTCACATTAGTGATCTGCATCGAGCCTAATTTTTCAAGCCCGGCCCGGCCCGAAATTTTTTAAAAGAAATTTACCGACCCGGCCCGGCCCGAATTTATTTAAATAGAAATTAATTTTTATAATTACTCAAAATAAAAGACATAGGTTATATGTCGTTTAGTTTCAATAAATAAAATCAAATATTTTTATTTTACATAAAAAATTCAATATAAAATTAATAAATTTAGATATATTTAAAAAAATTTCCAAGGTCCGACCTGACCCGATTTTTTTTAAAAATAGGCCCGGCCCGAACCCGATTATTTTAAATAGAATTAGGCCCGAGCCCGGACCGGGTACGGGCCGGGCCTAACTTTGCAGATCTCTATTTCACATTATCACAAATTGAATTCTTAAAGGAATTCCTTAAAAATAGTGATAATTCTGTTCTGATTTCTATAAAATTACAACATAAATATCATTATTTCAATTTATTATTTTTTTACCATAAATTATTGAAAAAATATAATATTGGCCATAAATTGGGTATTATTTTTTACAATAGAATCGGTTTAATATCAAAAATAAAATTCTTATAATTGTATTTTGGTTTGTATATAGGAATCGGTTTAATATCAAAAATAAAATTCTTATAATTGTATTTTGGTTTGTATATAGATATTATACCTAATTTGGCTAAACTGGCTAGAAGCATCCAAATAGATATCATAAATGCATTTTCTACGTGTTTAAAATTAACTGCAGCTATTTGATACCTGAGTATTTTAGGTTTAGAATGTCCGGTTTTGGTCCCACCATCATGATCTGCCGCAAAAGATTTAACGATGAATTCCAACAAAATTATAGATAAAAGTATTATTGATATGACATATTTAGCGTGAGATATTCTGAGCATTTTCTTTTCTTCCCAAATTTGATTTAGTTATAATTACTATTCCTATTTATATAAATTTTGTTATATACATCCAAAAAATATATTTTGTTATGATTTATTGTTGTAGAAAAATTATTGAATATTTTTTCTGACTTGAGATTAAATTTAGACAGAATAAAAGAAAATACAGGAATACAAGAGTTAACCTTTAATTCAAATAGCATTATAATATTATAACACAAAGATGATAATTTTTTAAAGTAAAAATCAAATGATGATATATAAATATTTTAAAAAATTTTATGTTGACAAATTTTGACTTTATAAAAACTCGAAATATATTTTTTTTAAAAAAGTCTAAATTTTAGAAATAAAAAAATAAACCATTATACTGTATCTAATTTTATAAAATAGGTACCACACATCAACATGCAAAATCATTTGATATAATATTATTTGGAATATTAAAAACTAATCCCTTCTAATAGAATATATTGATTTTTTTCATACCTTTAATAATAAATATTTTTCCCCAAAATTGAATTAGATTTGAAGGTTAAAAGATTTTTGTATTATGAAAATTATCTCTTTTCATAAAATTTTTAAATTAATTTTTTATTAAGATTTTATGATATAATTAAAATTATAATATGCCCTTTTTAAATCAAAAACTAGTCAACCTAAATTTAAGAGAGGAACCAACCCTATAATAAAAATAGCCAACACCCAATAAAAAAACTTATTATATATTAAAAAACAAATGTTTGACTTGCTGTCTTTACCTTTATTTTTTTTAAAATTTATTAGACATGGATTATTAATATTAGTGCCTGATAGGTATTTCAGGAATGTCTGATTCGCAAATTTTACTTAACATTCAATCCAATATTAAAAATATTATCTAAAACCTGACTCAATACCGATCTGATTTATATTTTTTTACTGAAATTAAACAGTTAAAAACTTTGTCACCTAAATCTATGTCGGACCTAAAAATGCATGTGACCCGGTTTTAACCTTTTGATAGTTTAATTCTTTTAAAGATGCTTAATAATCATTTTTAGCCTATAAATCTGTAATTATTTTTAAATATTTATGTATATTGCTATTTGACGATGCCAGTCACCTAAGTTGGCATTTAGAAGTGTTCCCAAGCAAAATATTTATTCTTCCTCCATATAGATATAATTTGACAGAAGAGAATCTAGTAAATATTTTAATTATATACGGTTCAATATTATTTTTTAGAGCTATAAAATTTAAAAAAATATTCTTTTCTTTATATAATTTTAATATGCTTGTATGTGAAAAAGTTTGAACCGGGGTTTAAAGACTCAAATCTAACCGATATTAATTTTTTTGAACCCTACCTTTATTTTTAGCTGACTAAACCTGATCCGTTATTCGTTATATGTTAGGAGAAAGTAAATACTTATTTTATAATGAAAACAAAGTATAATCAATTGAATTAGGATTATTATGTTCATGATTCATGAATATTTTATTTGAATATATAAAATCAATTCAAAAATCTTTATTTGAATATTATCCTTATAAAAATATAATTAAGAATAAACGAAAAATTTATTTTGGGTGTGCCAGTGATGAAATATAGTTTATTAGGTGATTATTTTATTATTGGAAAATCGGATCAGATAGGTTTTCAAATTATATAGGACCGATCGGATTTTTCTAGAAAATAACAATATTAGTGTCAATCGAATTTATTCCGATGCACATCCCTGGTATTTATAATATAATACATGAACTATAGATTATACCTCGTGTAGAAACTAAATAGCTAATTAAATTGATTGAAATATTAATATGTGATCGGCTTGGTATTACACCGGTGAATTATTTTTTCCATTTAGAATGATAATAGTTGAAGAATTTTTTAAATGAAAAATAGTAATTTTGCAATCTTTCAATTGTTATTATTATAATGTCTCCAAATTATTTCAAATTTTGAATTTGATAATAAACACCATAAACATATTTTGATTTTTGATTCTTTATTGATAATAATATATAATTAAATATATGCTAAAACAAATAAATAATAACTTGCTTTAGGGTAGCAATTTGATATAAATAATTTAAACCTAATCAATAAGTATTTTAAAATTTTTGAAAAATAAATATTCTGTAATATTTTCAAATTATTTAAAAAAATTTATTTTTAAATATAATTATTATTTATTTGTAAATTATTCATATTTAAGTAAAAAGGAACAATAATATAATTTTTTATATTATTTAAGTTGAATATAGACCAATGAATATGAGTTAAATTCGGGCCCGTAACCACGAAGAGAAAAAGGTTGAAATTCCCCCTTACGAAAATTTGCCTTTTCTCTTGAATATCATTTCAAGCTAATAAAAATTTACCCCGTAACACACCCCTCGCAACACTCTCCCCCATTTGAAAGAAAAATTAGTAAAAGTAAATAACTTTTCAAAATAACGACTATAATTCAAATTGTTCAGAAAAAACATTTTAATAAAAAATAAAATTGGAAACTTAAAATTATTTTTATAAAAATCTAATACAATCAATAGCATACAATAAGTAGACCTATAGATATTCAGTAAAATTATTGGGGAAAAACTCACCTACTAATGCTTCCTCCTCTCTTAAAAAATCGTGAATAGAGCAATCAACTAGATTCACAATAGATCACTGCAAGTAGTTTCCAAAGCTCGAAAGCCTAAACTTATTAAAAATAATCAGGCAAAACCGGCCTTTGGGTTAAAATAAAATAAAAAAATTAGCCGGGCTCAGGTCTAGCAGAAAGAATTTACAGGGCTCTACCTCACACAATCAATTATTTAAAATATTCATTCCGTTTTAACCTCCTAAACTGCACGATTTTATTTGTCTGGAAATTTTTTCAGGGATTTTTTTAGAGCAAAAAAATTCTGAAATTATTAATACAATAATATACTTTTAATAATAAAATTGGGGATTATCTATTCAACTTCCTCGAATTTGAATTGATTATGAAGTGTCATATTTATCTTTTCCTATTTATTGTTTCTAAATTAGATTTTTTTTTATATTAGAAATTTATTAGGGTCAATTTGAAATAATAAGATTTTATCAAGATCATCTCATTTGATCATAACTTGTTTTACAAGCGGGCCATATAATTTATTGATAGCTGCTTGTGCTAACTTATAAATAATTCTTGCATTTTTAAAAACATTCCATTCCAGAATTTTAGGATTGAAATTTTTTACCACATTATTCAAGATTATTCATATTATTAAATGAATTTAGATAGATTTAGGTCAAATCGTTTTCAAAAAAATACTTTAATATGAAATTGGATTCTTTTTTAAATAAAAATAGGATTTAACAGCAATTTTTATAAAATCCTCAAAAAGCAGATAATGATGGATGTCTGGTTGAAACACTTCGTTGAAGGTCTGACCATTCAATTTCCTGAGAATGCATAATTTTCTTTAAAACGTATACCCAGTTTGTGAAATCTGCCAGACAATTATTCCTATGATAGATGATGGAATTATACATAAACCAGAACAAGAATTATATATTTTAAAAAAGTTTATAAGAAAATCGGGTAGTTTATACCAAAATCGAATTGGCAACCCTGTATGTAAATAGTTTACATTTTTTTTAAATATAAAAATGTTAAATTGGTAAGAAATGAGATCAAACACTTTTATTGGAAAGTAAACAGGGGTAAATAATATTTCTAGCATTTCATGTATTACACCAGTACAGATGAAATTTTAATTTTTTTTACCATATTATCAACAACTCATGACAATGTCATAGTTAATTAATGCAGATATAGGCTCAAGGATTAACACAAAATATGTTAACACGGGTTCTTTTATCATAAAAAATATGTTTGGCTTAGGTACTGTGTGACATTATTACAGATCGTCTATAATATAGAACCTTCCATATCATTAAATATTTTGGAGAGATAAATAAAAAAAAGTGCATGAAAACTTTGATTACAAAATAAAAAAAAATTATAGCCCATTGCCTATAATACTTTAGGAGCTATCAATTATGTTAAGTGTGCCATTTTTATCATTTTATCTTATGCCCGGGGCAAAGTGGCTAAGCACCAGTGGTAAATAGGTTGAAATAAAATTGAGCACAACCTTATTATTTTACTGACAGAATATTAGCAATTTTGACATTATATTTATTGCGTTTTATTATGATCTAATTAATAGAATGAGGGAATGTAAAGAGATTATTAAAATTCGAAAATGAGTGTGCCCCATTTTAGGTATATCGTACTTAAAAGATTCTTGCGACTATTTTAAAATTTTAATTCCATATAACACAAACTATTTATTGATTGTTCAAAATTTTCTTTTTATATCGTATACGGAAATATTTGATTTTTACAACTTTAATTAGATGAACCATTTTATAACTTGCTATTGCTTAACTTATAGCTTAAACTAAAAACTCCCCTTAATTTTTATATTTTATAATATGTACAAAATTTTAAATCGGTAGGATATATATAATCGAAGATGATTTTAATCATTTATGTGTTAAAAACAAGTTCTTAATATTCAAATCAGGAACGTTTCCCAAAAATAAGCAAAAGGGGAGAAAGGGGGTTAATGATGCTTACTACCAAGGCAATACAAAATCGTGATTTTACAATTTTTATTTATTACATACTGCCAAATATCAAAATTTATCAAAATGTAATAAGTCCCTTATTATTTAACATATATTATTATGGAATCACGTGGTCGAGTTCGGCCTCCTATATATCGTGCCCCAAGGACGGAACCACCAAGTAAAATTAAGAAGAAGAAAACATGATCATTGCTGGGATTCGAACCCATAAGCATAGGATTGGTTAAGCAACTCTCATGCCGACAAGGCCACAGACGCTTTACAAAAATCACGCTTTTTCAAAAATATGTTATATATATATTTTTGGTAGTGCCTATCCAAATGAAAATTAAACAAAATAATTTGATAGGTATTATCTTAAGGTAGTAAGCAAGTATCATTAACCGAGAAAGGGGATATAATGAACTCGGAGTTAAAGCGAGACGTGGCTTTAGTTTCTAGAGTATTAAACTCTAAGGGATAATTTTTACACCAAAACTATGTAATTATATAATGCATATGCGGCTATAATTTTTATTTCTATCGGACAGCTTGAAGAATTTTTATAATGCATTATATGATTCATTCCTGCAAAAGTAACTTTTTAAACCTTTGCTATTTTTCAAAAATAAAGTTTAATATATATTTTTACCACCCAAAAATCATCTTATATAAAAGAAAAAATACAATTTTATAGAATATCAATTTACCCGAGCAGAACACAATTGATATTATAAATATTTCAAAATATGATCTTAGTCAAAGTTGCGGCATTGGAGCTATTTTTATGAGATTAGAACGTGCCTTTTTCCCCATTTTTTTTAAATTTTAACATGGAAAAAAAGGCCATGGAGAGAGCAAATAAAAGAAAAAAATCAAAAAATGTTATTAATAAGAAAAACAGTTGTTTAGTGTGCAAAAAAATTTATTACAAGCATCCTGGTTTCGATGTCATAAATGTAGTTATTGGACACATGGAAGATGTTGCAATTTTAATCTTTTTTTATTTGCAAAGATTGTGAATAATATTCTCATTTTTTTGTTTATAAATGTATGTATAAATCATTTAATATATTCTAATAAAAAAATATAAAACTTTTATGTGGAAAATTAAGCAGAGCTTATAATAGTCCCCAGCAAAGGCTCGCTCGTCCCTGGGTAGAGTTCACTCGTTCCCAAAAAAAAATTCCAGAAAAAATAAAATATTGAAAAAAGTATTAGATATGTACTTTTGAAATTTAAACCTACCATAAAACTAATAGAGCTGAACAAAATGAGATATTTTTTGTTAAAAATGATAAAGTACTTCTAATTTTATTAAGGTTCCTTTTAGGGTTCGCCATTCCCCTACACACCAAATTTAAGTTCTTTAGGGCTCAAGGATTAAAAGGTTTCGGGTTAACATTGTTACCCAACCCAATCCCATTAGTCCTGTCTCTCTCTCCTAATAGAAAAATTTTCAAAAAGATTGTATTTAAGGGTTTAAACGAATAAATAAATTTGATTGGTTATGAAATTGATATTTTAATGACTCTTTGAAAAAATGAGAACCCGTCTAATGACTGTAGATATTTGCTTTTATTTTCAAAAAAAATAGTTTTAAAATATGTGTAAATTATTTTGAACATAATTGCAAAAAAATTCTTTGATTTCTAGTGAAGAATTTAAATGGAGCGTTTTCGAGGTCGAAACCCTACACTTAGAAAATAAAAAAAAATTTAAACTTCTATATTTTAAAAAAACTTTGAATAAATATGCACACTTTTTTCAAATTTAAAACAAGATTTGTGAATTTATTAGATAACTTATAGTAACATTTATATATTTTCTTAATTGAAAAACAAATAACTTCTCCATATTTTATGATTATAAATCTGTGTGTTGAAACGAATTTTAAGATTTATATTTTTAATTATTCTTTTTCCCTATCAAATATATTGTCGGTCTAGAATTATAGTTATCCACTTGACATTTTCAAGATTTTTCGGTTAGGAGCTGATTTTAAGTTATATATAACAAAATATATATAAAAATAAAAACTAGATTCAAAAATATTAATTTTTCTCTGTCAATTGCACTATGTACATATGGTGTTATAAATTTTGTTTCATACGAACCCCTTATCCTATTATCATATTAATAATCACGTGTTATGAGCCTTTTTTAAAAAAGACTAAAAACCCATAAAGCAGCCGGAATCGATGGGATTTTTGCGGAACTTTGGAAGATAGATGCTGATTTAAGTGCTAGTCTACTGCTTCCCCTCTTTAATGAGATATGGAATACTGGCAATTTCCCAGAGGAATTGCACTGATCCCAGTTACCCTAAAAATGTTCACGTATATTATAGCCGTCAGGATTAAACCAATCATCGATAGAAACCTCTCAAACGCCATCACATCATATAGGAAGGGCAGGAACACGACGGAACTAACCATGGCGCTTAAGGTTATTCTGGAGAAAGCTAGAATGCATAAGTCCCCAATATTTGCCCTAATGATTGATCTAAGTCAAGCCTTTGACTCCATCATACAGCATAAGATCTGGCCCTTACTGGAGGACATAGGAATAGATAAACATCTGATTTCGCTTATAAAAATAATATACGATAATCATAACGTGATACCACAACATCTGAACTTAAAATCACAACCATTTAAGGCCAACAGAGGACTGAAACAAGGATGCATTTTATCACCTATGCTATTTAATGTAATAATGAACGATATTCTGAATAAATCCTTCAAACAAGAACATGCTCTACCCTCGATATCTGAATCAACAATATGATAATAACATACACAACTCTCTAAATTTTCTATGCTATGCAGATGATGTATGCATATTAGCTAACTCTGAGTACAAATTAAGAAACTTGCTGTCATTGTTTGTCAAAAATTGCTTTGGATGCGGACTGAAAGTCAACTACTCAAAGACAAAGTTAATTGTATCCAATATCCCTCTATATAACAGCGACCCCTTTAACTTTGAGGATAATGTGGTAGATACGGTCTTGGATTTTAAGTACCTAGGAACCAGAATAATGTCATTAGGCACCACCATTTTGGATACTAAGTCGAGGACCAACAAGTCCAGATCCCGATATCATCAGCTAACTAAATTATGGTCGTCCAACCAGATATCTACGAACCTAAAAATAAGACTCTTTAAATCCCTAATTCTACCCATCTTAACATACGGGTTGGAAACATGGCAGGACACTAAAAGCAACATCAACACATCCCAGACCTTCATAAACAAGTGCTTAAGAAGAATCACTAAAACTTACTATCCATACAACACCCCAAACACAACTCTCTGGAACAGGTGCGACATCCTACCTATCAAAAGACTCATTCCTTTGAGGAGATTAGAATTACTCGGCCACTGCTTAAGACATTCACGAGATAATATAATATTTTCGTCCATGGAGTGGACCCCGGATTACGAAAGGCGAAGAATCCCCAAATACTATTGGCTGGCAAAATGTCTGAAGGACATGGACTTGATCAATCTTACGTTTATAGATTTTCTTGCACTCAGCAAAAACAAGAAACATTTAAAGGAACATCTGCAATACATGCTTAAATATGGTTTAAACTAGAACAGGAATCGTGGACGTATCAGACTATTTCTCGCACTGCCTTATTTCCAATCTCTTATCCCCAGTCTAATGACAACTTATGTTTTGGCGCAATAGGAATTATGATTTTTGACGAAGTCAATGATAATCTTAAAACCATGAATATTAATAATGATAACGATCTCCAGGCTCAATATAATAATGATAATAGTGAATAACATGGATTCTATAGACATTGCGTTATCTTCCAAGGATATACTTACCAAACATTAAGAAACTTTTTTTTTCCCATCTCTTAAATCTAACCAGGTGTCAGGTACATTATTATTATTAATATTAGCTACAATTCTTAACACTATTTTGCCGGTAACGGAACTAATAGATCCCCTCTTTCTTACTCCTCTCTTCTTTACTATGCTAGCTGACTACATAGTGGTACCGTCCACTATAATAAAACGGGTATACATCATGTATAGGATCTATATACTAGTGAATATACATGGTGCACGCTACAACTCCTGGTGGGTGATGAAATTGCACTTCGTGCAATTTCTGGCGTGGTAATGAATGAATGAATATAACCCTAAACAAAATATTTTTATTATATTGAAAATTTTGCGGACGTTTTTTATTTTTCGTTTGAAATTGGAAATTTTTTTTGTCAGACCTTCCTTAAAAAATTATTGGATCCGTGCCAGATTTCTTAATATCTTTAGAAATTGTATTTATTTTGTGGTTTGAAATGGGCTCCGAACCAGAAGTGACGTGCTCTCTAAAATGTTTCCTAAAAACTCTTATTATAATTAATAAAATTAAAATAAACAAAAAGACCCAATTAATGGGGCTTTTTAAATACTATCTAATTCTTTCCCCGGGTCACCAAACGGGCTTAGAACGGCCATGATTAAATTCAATTTTAACACTATTTGACTAAAAAATTAATATAATCTTAAACACAATCCAATGCAAATGGGGGGGGGGGCAGGATGGTGCAACACCTCCAGGTCAATTTCTAATTCTTTTATGGCAAGAAGAAATTAATAATGATTTTAATAATGGCATATTTTATGTTTACTTAGAACAAAAAATTATGATATGGGCAATCCCCCCCCCCTCCACCCCACTCAAATACACCATGAAATTATAGATATTTATTGGCGATAATTGAAATTAATTTCAAAAAATAAAAATTATTGATACTTCAATTGAATGGTTCTGAAATTCATCCAGATAGTAGCAATATTATTAATTGCAAATATTGAACAATAATAAGATTATTGTAAAAAATATTTTATCTACTGGTTAAATTTAAAATTTATTACATCTATATATATCGGAATATAAAAGTATATAATTATTTAAGGTAGGAGTAAATTGTGTTTAACATTTGAACAAAGATTTATTAATGTAATTCACTTCCAATATCAAAATATAAATAAACTTTCAAGATATTTGATAAAAGCAATTACAACAAATTTTAATATATTAATATATACCATAGGCGCCGACTTCATGGAGGCAGCAGGGCTCGCGAGCCCAATAAAATATTCTACATAATAGATAATATTGTTCCATTATTAATATTTAAAACATAAAATTTTCTAAAAAATTTACAGCCCCCCATAAAAATTTTTATGTGTCGGGTGCCTCTTATATATTATGTTATTAATGTTTTTAAATGTAAGGCGTCGTATTCATTAACATCCAATTATATTAAATCTTTATTTGCAAAGGCCAATTCTATAATAATTCTGTTGAATAAACTTAGGTCACTTTATCTGATTTGGAAACCGGTTTGTCGACTTGCACTCCCGCCTTTGCAACAATCGACTTATTTGGTATGTCTTTCTTTCTTGTAGGTTCCTCCAAGTCGGAGCTAACAGGTAATCCCCTTACTAAATGCGAACTCATGGCTGACGCAAAACTCTCTTCAGATTCCGCTCCTTCAACGTTTAATAAGCTTTTAGTACCAGTCTGTGACAAAAATGAATATGGTAGTGCACTTTTCTTATCGAATTTAGGGGTCAAGGATGTCGCCTATAGAGGGTTAAGATAATCAAGCAATTTTTATTTATTTGCCATTTAATTATGCTTTAATAACAAAAAAAATTTTTGTTTTAAATTTAAAATTGACCAATTATACTTTATAAATATTTTATTTCAACCAACATTAAAATTATAACTTTCATCGGTTGTAATAGTGGTGATGCATTTATTAAGGATAAGGTCCGGTGGCGTGTGTCTGTATCTATATCATTTTCTATCAATCGCCCCTTCTCTTGATTCGTTCCAACTTCAATAACACGTGATCCAAATCCATTAGTTAACTTTTTACCTAGAAGGGTCATTTAAAATAATTTTAATACGTTCATGTTACTATAGTCATTTAAAAAAAATGAAAGCAGTATAACTATTAAGAAATACTTATAAAAAAAGTAAAAATTAAAATAAAATAAATTTTAATCTATTTCAAAGTAAAACAACAAAAGTCAAATAAAAAGTAGAAAACTAGTAATAAGTCGAGGGATATATTTTTCGATCTCCTTGATGGGTAATAATGTAGAGTTAACGTGCTGATTTCTATTCAATAGAGATCCAGGCAATGTCTCGGTTAAAGCGTTAAAACGGAATATATCGGATGAGGTAGTAGGACTATCAACGGGAAAGTCATTGTCATAATTTTTTTTAGCTCTTTTACCATTTCTTTTATTGATGGCTACCAAATCCTGGGAAGGAGAGCTGGTCATACCAAAAAAACGACTAAGTACTTCAGGTATGCCATAATATTTTGAAAATTCCTTACTTTTTACGTGTTCTATAAAAAAAATAGATAGGAAAAAGAAAATTTTAAATATAAATACCGTTGGACTTCTCAAAGAGTTTTCCTCTTTTATGTGGACTGATAAACAATGGCGAAGTTTTTAGCTTAAGAATATGTTGATTCGAAGGGGTAGCTTGAATGCTACTTAGAGATGGATTGTGGAAGAGCATGCGTCGGCTGTATTTTTTGCCCTTATATGGTGAACATAAGCAATATAACATTTATCATTTTCTAGAATAAATATGATATTAATGTTCAGGTAATGAATACCAACAGTAAAAATATACTGAACGCTGGTGCATTATTATTATCCGAAATATTTTTTGCCCATAAAATATATCTATCTATGTTTTTTGCAATCAAATAATAACGATATTAGTGTTTAAATTAACCGACAATACGCGTTTAATAATTTCGCATTGGCGAAAAATTAACCTGATCCTTGTCTTCCGCCAAAACATAAATATGAGCGAGTTTAGGTTTAAATTTAAATAACATTGGCTTTTATTTTGAATAAAAAAATTAAATTCAAATTAAGCAAATCCAAATTTTATCCTTTTTTTATTATAAAGCTGTATTTTTAGTTATCGCTATTTCCTGAGCGGTCCTGAAATACTAACTTGATTATAACTTCAAAAACAAGTATAGGTAATTATGGTAGTAAGAGTAACCAAAAAGATCATAATAAATGTAATTTTTATTTTACTTGCCAAAATAGACATTTTAAAAAAATCCCTTGAAAGGTATACATTTTCATGCCTGGGTTAAATTTTTTTAAGCCTAGACCCTGTCTTTAGAAATTATTCCAGGCCTAGCTTGATCTGGAGGGGGAATAATCTATTATCGAAATAATTTTAACTGTATTTTATGAAATTAAAGGAAATTCGAAAATAGAAAATATGAGAAGTAAATAAAGATTTAAATAATCCATTTTGTGATTTTCAACTAGTTAATTGCTTTTATTTTTAAAACTTCGGCATAACCAGGTTTTTACAATATGACCATTTTTGTATTATATTTTCATGGGAGAGTATATCTTATTTTAGATTTGTATTATATTTTATATTTAGGATATATATTATATTCAATATTCAATAAAATATAAAACCATAAGTCTTCTAAGAGGATTTTATTTTTACTTTCACAAACAAAATCCCACATAACAAATTAAGGTAAAATAGAGTATTAATAATTGGCGTATGCAAAAGCAAACAGTAAATCCAACTTACGATTAAATATATTAACCAAACCATAAAAAATAAAAGTAATTTTTTTAAGAATTTTAATTAAAAATGAGTTTATAAGTAATCATTTTCCTTCATCAATTATAATATATAATGGTTGATTTAAAAAATAAATGTTTCAAAACTTGATGACCTCGCGGGTGCAGTACATCTTCAACCAAGGAATACCATTTATTGGCTTCTTCTTTACTTGTGTAAACTGGATATTTTGATATGTTAACAACTGGCATATTTTTGTCTTGACTCTCATCAACCATACTTAATTGTTATTTTAAAGTTATATACATGAAATTAAAAATCAAAGTAAAAGTTCAAAGAACAGCATACTTTTTATTTTCATAAAATTAAAGTTACAATTAACCTTTTATATTATTACTAGCTGATAACCCGTCAAGAATGACGGGGTTGAGGGGTAATTAGTTAGTTTGTGTATATGGTGCTAATATGCTTTATATTAAAATTTAGGAAAAAAAGAGATAAAATTCTTGCAATTTAACCAGTGAGCATTAAGGGTATTAGAAATATCAAAATTTAAATATTTGATAGGAATTATATTGGGTAAAATTAAAAATAGAGATGCTTCAAAATTTTTGAATTTTAAATATGGGGTAGACATTGGTCTCAAAATTTTGTTTGCAGACAAAGCTAGGCCTGATCAAAAAACCAAGTCCCATGCAACTTTCGTAAAATTTTGCCATTTATTTCCATTGTAATTTAATAATAATGTCTTAAATTTAATTTTATATTTAGAATAAAATTTAAATTAATGATAGAAATTATATTGAATAAAATTTAAAATAGAGATGCTTGGAAATTTTTTAATTATAAATATGGAGTGGACATTGGCCTGAAATTTTTTTTTGCAACCATAGCCAAGTCTGATCAAAAAACCAAGTCCCATGTAACTTTCATAAAATTTTGCCATTTATTTTAATAACAATGTCTTAAATTTAATTTTATATTCCATTTATTTCTATTGTAATTTAATAACAATATCTTAAATTTAATTTTATATTTAGAATAAAATTTAATTGTGATAAAAATCATATTGGGTAAAATTTAAATTATGCTTGAAAATTTTTTAATTTTAAATATGGGGTAGACATTGGCCTGAAATTTTTTTTTGCAAACATAGCCAAGTCTGATCAAAAACCAAGTCCCATGTAACTTTCATAAAATTTTGCCATTTATTTCTTGTAATTTAATAACAATGTCTTAAATTTAATTTTATATTCCATTTATTTCTATTGTAATTTAATAACAATATCTTAAATTTAATTTTATATTTAAAATAAAATTTAAATTTGTGATAGAAATCATATTGGGTAAAATTTAAAATTATGCTTGAAAATTTTTTAATTTTAAATATGGACCAGACATCGGCCTGAATTTTATTTCCTAAAACCTGGCCAACCCATAATAATTTTGTAATTTTTTCCCAAGCCTGGAGATAGGTAAATCTCTGAAAACCATATTATTGGGAAAATTTTCTCAAGCCCGCCAAAGACCATAATAATTTGTTAGTTGAGAACTGAAATAAAATATATAAAAGTCATAATTCATTTAAAAATAAAATCAGAATATGAAAGTTGCATGTGGTTTTTTAATCAGGCCTAGCGATTTCTGCAAATAAAAATTTTCGGGCCAATGTCATGCCCATATTTAAAATTAAAAAATTTTCAAGCATTTCTATTTTACATTTTACCCAATATGATTTCTATACAAATCTAAATTTTATTCTAAATATAAAATTAAATTAAAGACATTTTTATTAAATTACAATAAAAATAAATGGCAAAATTTTATGAAAGTTGCATGGGACTTAGTTTTTTGATCAGGCCTGGCTATGTCTGCAAAAAAAATTTTCAGGCCAATGTATAACCCATTTAAAATTCAAAAATCTTAAAGCATCTCTATTTTAAATTTTATCCAATATGATTTCCATCACAAATTTAAATTTTAATATTTCTAATAGCTCACGGTATACATTGCAACAATTTTACCTCTTTTTCTCTTTAATTTTTATATTTATATAAAATTTATTAATAAAGTATATTTAGTATCATACACACAAACTAAATAATTACCCTTCAACCCCCTCAGCTAGTATGGTAATAAATGACAAAATTTTAAAAAACACTATATAGTCTCCTTAAATTTTAAATACATTTAGGAGGATACGAAATCGATCATGTTTTGATTATGGAGATTATATATATTAGATTATTTTAAAGAATTTTCAAAAAAGTATTCAATAATCGCTTAGGGATGATATTAAAGATCTGTAAATTACGGTATCATATTAATTCAGCTAAACTTTTATCGCGAAACACTTTTTCGCTGAACTTTTATTGTGAATGTTTATTATAGTGATTGGATTTTATAGCGAAACCTTTATTAGGAATCCACATTTGCAAATACTACACGAATCAAATATCATGAAATTTTTTCGTAGAGAAACACTTTACGGCTAACTTTATGAAGAGAATACATGAAAGCGAAATTTTTATTGCGAATCCGAAAATTTTATAGCGAAGTCATTATCGCGAAACCCAAATTGTGAAAATAATATAGCGCAAGCTATTTGGCAAATTTATTACTGCGAAGTTAATATCGCAAAAACAATAGCTTGATCTTCACTGCAACAGTGATGTCTGGAGCCAATAATTGTCTGATTAGTATTTGTTATTTATAATTCATCAATCTTTGCGTTACTAAACAAAACCGACTTATAATAAGCTATAAAAACTATAATGACACGCCTTAGACTGCATTTTAATCTGTGAATCGTGATTCAAAAATACATCTATGATATTTTATGTTTTCATATTCATTTATGCTAAATAATTTAATCATTTATGTTTCCATATTGGAATACCGGGAATCGAACTAGTATCAAATCAATTATTTTTGAAAATTTCTTCCAATATTGCCTAATTATTTAATTTTCGAAAGTGCAAATCTTATAAATATTTATAAAATGTAAATCTTATAATTATTTATATGATACATTTATTCAAACAAAAGAATAGCAAAAGGAATCAATTTTTGTGTCATCTAGCGATGAGATTCAAAGCAAGTAGGATAGTAGAGATAAAGATGAAGGTTGAATAATAGATAAACTTAGTGATAGTCAGTTATGATTTCAGGCAACCACTGAGCTTGAATTACATGGAGAAAAGGTTTATATTTATGAAATAGATAAAATCATCCATAACAAAAAACTTTATAATTGAAACACAAATGATTTATCCATAATATCCCTAATTCTCTCTTTTTCAGAAACAGAATATTTTGTAATTTTTTGATCATAACTTTGCAGTTATTTTTACGAGGTGGCCATGATCTTCAAATGTTTTGTCCAGAATTGGAGTGCTCAACTTGACATTTTAATATTTTTGAATCAGTTAAATATTGGCATAATTATTTATTCAGCTAAATTATTATTTCTATGAATAAAATAGGAATAAATAAAGAATGTGTTTATATGATATAATTTAGATTTACAGCAGTCTGTTTATTTTGCCTTTATTTAATAAATATAATCAAAATGTTGCATTTTGAACAAAAATAATTCATAAAGTTTTTAATTTGCTTCACCTGATTTTTACTTTGTCAGATATATATATATTCCTCTCAAAAAAATTTCCAGGCTATCATTTGATGGTAGTGTTATGAATTGCCCCTCAATAATTTTTTACTTATATGAATCTATAAGTTTTTATGATATTTGAATCTAAACTATAAAATAGTTCCTACAATTTTGCAAGTGGGGCACTCCAATTCTAGACCGACAATATATAATTTACATTTTAGGTTTATATAATTGAAATAAATATTTTGAAAAAAATTGCCCAAAGGGAACAATGATTTATTTGAGAAATAAAAAATTCAAATAAATGAGATTCACATTTATATATATAATAATTAAGAAACATTTATAAAAATTAACTCGGATAATTCAATGAAAAAATTCTGAGACAATATAAATTTTTTAACAAAATCATCTATGATTTTTTTTAAAACTTACAAAATCGGTAAAAATTCTGAGATAATATAAATTTTTTAACAAAATCATCTATGATTTTTTTTAAAACTTACAAAATCGGTAAAAATTCTTAAATTTCGATGTTTTAATCACAAGTAAAAAAAAAATTCTAAGCATTTTATAATGTTATTTCATAATCTTTGATAAAATTTATTTTTAAGAGTACAAAGCGTATTTTTAAATTTTATCAAAATTTATGTTAAAAGAAGGGGGGTGGGAGGTATTATTGGGGAGGTCACATTAAGCCAACTCTTGAATACTTAATAGACAATAAATGATGAAATGCCCTCGAATTAAGTACTTATATGGGTAAATTATTATTTAATTTCGCGATAATGACTTCACTTAAATATATTTGTAAAAGTTTCGCTATAATGAGTTCGCATTAAAAGTTTCGCTTAAATGTATTCGCCAAAGTGTTTGCGGTTTTAGGCTTCGCGATATATATGCGATGATGAGTTTGCGTTATTTTCGCTGTAAATGTTTATCGGAATTGTTATGCGATATGACCTTCGCCCTAAAATTCCTTCTCAATAAATGATATTCGCGATTATTAATTAACCTGATACTGTTACGTTTTAATTTTTATTTCAAAGTTCCATCGAAATTAATATTTATATATAAGTCGATGAACTTGAACATCCACTATTAATTATATCAATCGGGTATACTTTTTTATATTTATAATGGTAATTTAATTATGACAAAAATAGCTATTTCTTGGTTTTGTTTTGAGAGGATTAGTTCAATCTTGTAATGTTTCTAGATTTAATTTATATTGTTTTTGAGGGTAAAAAATGTTATTTTTATTTTGTTCTTATGTGGATTTAGTCTTAGAAATTTTCATTTTAATTTAAGTTCGATGCATGAGGCAAAATAATTGATTTTAGATCATGATCTTTTTTAAAGAAATTTACGTAGGATCCGATATTTGATTTCCTTTATGACCGATGAAATCTTCGATTTCTGCCAAGAGATATTCAAAACCCTATTTAAATAGATAAAAATATAGAATTATATATTCGTCATCGGAGTAACAAAATAAATTTTCAAAGCTTCATTATTATCATAAAAAAATAAAATTTATCCAAAAATAAATAAAATAGCAATTGTAAAAGATAATTTGATGAAATAATATGGATATAAGTTCATAACTTAATTAAATGGTGACTATCATTGAAATTTAACATTTTTTTAAAATATATGTAAAATCAAAGTATTTTTAAAAAGATGTGACACCAATGCCCACAAAAAGAGGACTAAAAGCCCTTCAATAAGATTTATGGGAAAATGACACTAAAAGTCCCCCTTAAGGAAAATCAACAAAAAGATTTACTCTTTCTAGCAATGTGTTTTTCATATTTTTGTCCTTGGTAGATTCCTTTTTGGCACGCAAAAAATCCACTAGATGACATATGGTGAGACCCTAAATATAAGAATAAAAAATTATCGTTTTAAATTATAACATATATCTATAAAGTATTTATTATTATTATTGTATAATAATTGGAAATTGCTTGTTTGAGTGCATTTATATCTCCATGGTATTGTTTTAACAATTCATTAGTTTCGTCTTTGTTCAGTTTTTTACAAATGTGTACAAGATTGTCCTCCCTCGAAGACGCTTTTTTCACTAAGTATGGTTGCAGATATTTGTATTGGAATAGCTCTATCCTGTAATTAAAACAAATAAAACATAGAATCATGATAATTTATATAAGCGGTTATATAAAAAAATTTTAATTTTATGCCAAAAAAATTTATATGAGTGATTGTTTGAAATTAAAATAAATATATTTTTTATGCTTATTAAATATTAAATAAAGAGAGCTCAAATTAGCCCCAGCAGAGTAGTCCTTTTGACTTGGGATATGGCTACTAGAATTATTGCCCCACGACGTTTCTCATTATGAAACTCTTTCCAAAAAAGTATAAAATATATTTTCTTAAAATTTGAAACTGTTGACCGTAAGTTAGAAGAATAAAATAAGCATGATTTAATTAAGTATACCTTATCTAATATTGAAGTTAGAAGTCGTCATGGGCTGGCCCAGTTCGAACAGACACTTAAAAATTTTTATCAATTTTTTTGACCCAGCCTTGCCTTAAATTATTTTTACCCGGCCCATATAATGTATTTTGTACAAGTTGTCCGGCTCAGTCCATAATAATTTTTTATAAAGTAAACCACTTATATTTGCCATGGCCCGGCCCATATTTGCTTTAACGCATGAATTACATAGTATAAGATATACACCCGGTGATTTTAGACAATCCTCTTTGTTTAAGATATGATGAGGGGGGGGGGAATGCTGAATTTTGATTAGGGTTAAATACTGTTATTATACTGTTTCTAAATAATTGGCCACATGATAATTAAAATAAATTTTATCAACATCTAAATTCTATTCATTCAAATATATAATGTTGAATTAGAAATCAATAAAATTTATGTTTAAATGCTAACTCTCACCATCATCCAAGTCCGATATGTCATTGCATTATTCGCAATAATAGATATACTAACAAATATTTTATTATTTCTTGCTTTTTAAATTAATTTTCGAGTTATTTCTATAATTTTATACATGTATTTTTACTTCAATTATTTTTCGATATACACCTTAGAAATCTGAATAGCCCGGTCCGGATATTTTTAAAAAAAAAATCGGATCGGGCTGTAGGGGCAGGCTTAAATTTTTAAATATAATATCATTCATTTTTGTGAAATAAATAAATATATTTTAAAATTTTGAAGGAAACAAGTGCCAATATTTTAACTAAATTAGTCGCTCCTCACTCATGCACTAGTTGCAACATCTTGGTTGACAGTAAATTTTCTAAGGGCAAGCACTCTTGCTTTCGAGCAATTAACTACCTAATTCACAAGACACTATTATCAGCTAACATTTCATCCACTTTAGAAAGAGTTGGACTAAATATTTCTGAGAATAAAGGACCATACGATGTCACTCTCATGCCTTGGTTGAAAGGGCAATCTTTGATACCATAAAGCTGCATAATTATCCAAACGCAACAAATATTGGCAATTAGAAAGCGTATATTTTTATTCTTAAAAATTAATAATAATCACAATAGATCCCAAAGAAAATTTATACCTTAGACCAAAAACTCGAGAGATGTAGATCTAATTTTATTTCCATCCTTGGATCTAGGCCAGACGATATTTAACTTATCATTTTTAAATTTCTCCCTTTTTTTATATTATAATTTATATTGTTTTTAAATATGTTCTTACATTCTTTTAGATATATTATTTTTTAAATATTTTATATTAGTATTCATAATAAAATAAAATTTTAACCGTAAAAAAAATAATTTAAAAAAAATTAAATTTTTCTATTATTTAATAAATTCGGGAGGGGGGGGGGGCAAATATATTTTTACCTACGGGCGGACTTTTTGGATAAATAAAAACAATTTATTTGGGATCAGGCCGGGCTGAACTAATATTTAAAAAATAATTGGGCAGGGCTGGGTTTGAAAAATTAGACCTGATGCAGATCACTAATAAACCTATCAAATATTTAAGACATAAATAATTTTCTGCATAGCAACCATAGCTTTCAATTTAACGATAAAGCTGAATAGCTAGTCTAAACTATATTAATGTCATTGGTTTTGATTTAAATTAATCATAATATATATTTTTTTTAAATATTTTTAAAATATTCAAACAAATAAAAAAGTAGAAAATAAGTTGAATTTCTTTATTATATTATAAAATATGAATAAGAAATTACAAATTATAAGTAATGTAATAAAAAATAAATCTTTACTATTTATTTTTTGAATATTCCAATCATTTATTAAAATAAGTTAATATTTTTAAAAACCGTTATTAACCGAGTTAAAAGGGTTTCAAAGAATCTAACTGTTTCATTCTTTCTTTGGAAAATTTTATTACAACTGTTTGGTTATGACAATATAACCGCTCAATACGGTTTTTTGTTCGGTTTATTGGATATGATGGTTAACATATTAAAATGTAAAATATATATAATAATGAAGAAATATATTTTATGAAAACTTTTCCCTTAAGCGATTCTTGCCTTGATTACCTAGGATATCTTCAACCCCGGCTAATAGGTGATCTATGCACTAAAATAATGTTTTTAAAAAATAATAAAATATACAATATGGAATTTTAATTATAAATTTTTGGGAAGAATAAATTGAATTTCAGTAATATTACTTACTCTGGCAAACAGTATTGTGCCCATGTTTTTATCTTTATCCTGGGCCTTTTTCACGCTTAAAAATTCTAACAATGGTCTTATTGTTAATCCCTTGTATAAATAAAATAAATAAAAAATTAATCATGTTATCACTTCACTAATATAGAGTTGGCGAAATCGGAATTAGTAAAAAGCATTTAGTATTAATAATAATGCGCAATTAGAAATCAATCCGGCCCATCCCGTATTAATTTTGTGTGCCAAATTACCATAAACTTGCACTATTCTATTATTCTATAAGTTTTATAAAAATTTATCGAGCAATATCCTGTAAAAATATTTCACAAAATCTTTTCGGCACCAAAAATATTATGCAGTTATTTGTCCCCTACCCAAAAATTTTAAGTACATATCAAGGACCTCTGACACAATTGCGTTATAGACATTTAGGGGGGTAAATTAAGGGGTATACCTTCATTTAACAACATACATAGTCAGTATCCATTTTTACAATAGATATAATTTTATATTTTAGTCATCAAGGGAATTCGTATCATTACTTTAGGGAAAATAGGGGGAGGGAGGGGGGATCAGAGGTCTGGATCTTTAATAACAATGTTTGAAAAGTTATATGAATAAATGTAATATAAATAAAATATAACCTTTATATTTAAAGATAGAAGTGTTTGAATTAAAAACGCCATCAAAAATGATAAAAGTTATATTTAAATAAACATTAATATAATAAATATTTAAAGATACTTTGCCAAATGGAATACTTGAAAGAATGAAGTGAAAATGACCACTGTCATTGTTGTGGTTACAAACATTCTTTTGTTATACTGCCCTACAACACTTTCACTTAAGAGAAGGGCTAAAGAAAATGAAATAGCGCCTCGTAATCCTCCATAGGTCAGTATAAAAATGTCGACTTTGTTCAATTTAACTAATCTGTATCTATTAATCAGGGGTATAAGAAGTAGTATACCTAGTCAATTCATTTTAAAATAAAATAACCCATTAATGAGACATATTAACAATTATTTGCATAATATTTTAACTAAATAAGTTTTATGGGATGTGAAATCTGCTGAATATATATATATACCTGACGTTTTATTTTATAAATGTAGTTATATTCTATATTCTTTTTATTACTATTTATGATGAACAATCTTATCTAATACTTAAATATTACTACATTGATAATAAAAATTGCCATGCTGTATAGGGATTTAAAATAAATTATTCCTATTGTGTCAACTCATATATTTATTATGTGGCATTACCAATATTTTCGATATACTCTAATGCCAATATATTGATATTTATATTTGAAAATAAAATAAAATAATAAATTCTTAACTAATCAGTCAATTAAAATGAGATACGAGGCAATAGTAGAGTTAGAATTTCTTAAATCAGTACAAGACAACAAAAAGAGTGTAATAAATTTGATTTAAAATTTTAGAAATCTGGATAAAATGTGTGATTTTGGCAAAAAAATAAATTTTACTACACAAAGGGCAATTTACTAATGTTGGTAATTAAGCTTTTGAGTTGTTAAAACGCCGCAAGTCGCGACCCCGACCCAAAGCTCGGGTCGTTTTATTCGACTCCGACTCAATGTTTGGGTCGTTTTTTTCGACTTCGACCCGAGTTCAAGCCGAAAAAAACGACTTCGACCCAAAATATGGGTCGTTTTTTTCGACTTCGACCCAAGTCCAAGCCGAAAAAAACGACCTCGACCCAAAATATGGGTCGTTTCTTACGACTCCGACTCAAAATTTGGGTGGTATTTTTCGACTCAAACTTGAAATTTGGGTCGTATTTTTCGACTCAAACTTGAAGTTTGGGTCATATTTTTCGACTCAAACTTGAAGTTTGGGTCGTATTTTTCGACTCAAACTTGAAGTTTAGATCGTATTTTTCGACTCCAACTCAAAGTTTGGGTCGTTTTTCTGACTCAGACTCAAACATCGGGTCGTTTTATTCAATCCGACCCAAAATATGGATCTTTTTTTTAAAGACGACTTAAAGTTAGGGTTGCTTTTTTTCACCCCTACCAATATCTAGATCATTTTTTTCGACCAAAAGTCAAATAACATTTAGTATATATTAATATTATAGGCGGGAAAGTTACTTAAAGCTTCTTTAAATTATAATGCGCTGATTAACTATTCATCATAGTTATATTTTAAAATTTTTAAGTGAAGGTGTAACATAGAAAAGTGCCATTTGTCATGATGGTTATTTTTGAACTTTTTTAAATGAAATAGATAAAAATATATATTGTAGACATGTTAAATCAAAATTTCAGTGATGATGTACCATAGATAAGTGGTAAATGTCATAATCGCTATTTTTGAACTTTTTTGAGTTTTATTAAAGCAAATTGCTAAAATTATATATTCTAAACATGTTAAATTAAAAATTCAGTGAGGATGTATCATAGATAGGTGACAATTGTCATAATCGCTATTTTTGAACTTTTTCAAATTTTTTTAAAGGAAATATCTAAAAATATATATTCTTAACATGTTAGATTAAAAATTCAGTGAGGATGTATCATAGATAGGTGACAATTGTCATAATCGCTATTTTTGAACTTTTTCAATTTTTTTTAAAGGAAATAGCTAAAAATATATATTCTAAACATGTTAAATTAAAAATTCAGAGAGGATGTTTCATAGATAGGTGACAATTGTCATAATCGCTATTTTTGAACTTTTTCAAATTTTTTTAAAGGAAATAGCTAAAAATATATATTCTAAACATGTTAAATTAAAAATTCAGTGAGGATGTATCATAGATAGGTGACAATTGTCATAATCGCTATTTTTAAACTTTTTCAAATTTTTTTAAAGGAAATATCTAAAAATATATATTCTAAACATGTTAAATTAAAAATTCAGTGAGGATGTATCATAGATAGGTGACAATTGTCATAATCGCTATTTTTGAACTTTTTCAAATTTTTTTAAAGGAAATAGCTAAAAATATATATTCTAAACATGTTAAATTAAAAATTCAGTGAGGATGTATCATAGATAGGTGACAATTGTCATAATCGCTATTTTTGAACTTTTTCAAATTTTTTAAAGGAAATAGCTAAAAATATGTATTCTAAACATGTTAAATTAAAAATTCAGTGAGGATGTATCATAGATAGATGACAATTGTCATAATCGCTATTTTTGAACTTTTTCAAATTTTTTTAAAGGAAATAGCTAAAAATATGTATTCTAAACATGTTAAATTAAAAATTCAGTGAGGATGTATCATAGATAGGTGGCAATTGTCATAATCGCTATTTTTGATTTTTCAAATTTTTTTAAAGGAAATATCTAAAAATATATATTCTAAACATGTTAAATTAAAAATTCAGTGAGGATGTAACTTAGATAGGTGACAATTGTCATAATCGCTATTTTTGAATTTTTTCAAATTTTTTTAAAGGAAATATCTAAAAATAAAAATAGCGATTATGACAATTGTCACCTAAATATGATACATCCTCACTGAATTTTTAATTTAACATGTTTAGAATATATATTTTTAGCTATTTGTATTAAAAAAATTAAAAAAAGTTCAAAAATAACGATTATGACAATTGTCACCTATCTATGATATATCCTCACTGAATTTTTAATTTAACATGTTTAGAATATATATTTTTAGATATTTCCTTTAAAAAAATTTGAAAAAGTTTAAAAATAGCGATTATGACAATTGTCACCTATCTATGATACATCCTCACTGAATTTTTAATTTAACATGTTTAGAATATATATTTTTAGCTATTTCCTTTAAAAAAATTTGAAAAAGTTCAAAAATAGCGATTATGACAATTGTCACCTATCTATGATACATCCTCACTGAATTTTTAATTTAACATGTTTAGAATATATATTTTTAGATATTTCCTTTATAAAAATTTGAAAAAGTTCAAAGATAGCGATTATGACAATTGTCACCTATCTATGATACATCCTCACTGAATTTTTAATTTAACATGTTTAGAATATATATTTTTAGCAATTTGCTTTAAAAAAACTCAAAAAAGTTCAAAAATAGCGATTATGACAATTACCACTTATCTATGGTACATCATCACTGAAATTTTGATTTAACATGTCTACAATATATATTTTTATCTATTTCATTTAAAAAAGTTCAAAAATAACCATCATGACAAATGGCACTTTTCTATGGTACATCTTCACTTAAAAATTTTAAAATATAACTATGATGAATATTATAATTTAAAGAAGCTTTAAGTAACTTTCCCGCCGATAATATTAATATATACTAAATGTTATTTGACTTTTGGTCGAAAAAAATGATCTAGATATTGGGTTAGGGGTGAAAAAAGCAACCCTAACTTTAAGTCGTCTTTAAAAAAAAAGATCCATATTTTGGGTCGGATTGAATAAAACGACCCGATGTTTGAGTCTGAGTCAGAAAAACGACCCAAACTTTGAGTTGGAGTCGAAAAATACGATCTAAACTTCAAGTTTGAGTCGAAAAATACGACCCAAATTTCAAGTTTGAGTTGAAAAATATGACCCAAACTTCAAGTTTGAGTCGAAAAATACGACCCAAATTTCAAGTTTAAGTCGAAAAATACAACCCAAATTTTGAGTCGGAGTCGTAAAAAACGACCCATATTTTGGGTCGAGGTCGTTTTTTTCGGCTTGGACTTGGGTCGGAGTCGAAAAAAACGACCCATATTTTGGGTCGAAGTCGTTTTTTTCGGCTTGAACTCGGGTCCAAGTCGTAAAAAACGACCAAAACTTTGAGTTAGAGTCGAAAAAAACGACCCAAAATTTGGGTGAGCTCTGTTCGCGCCGACTCGGCTAAGCCGATTAACAACACTACTTTTGATAAATAGTTATGTTATGGCAAAATATTTCTGATCAAAAACAGAATGCAGAATGAAAAAACTATAGTTGGACACCGATATAGGGACAGACAATCTAAGGAGGTGATGACGCTCCTGCAGGTTTTGGGAGAAAAGTAATTTATCATGCCAGTAGAAATATGTATCCTATTTCCGCTTTGAGCATATCTCACACGGAAGAATTATTTAAAGAGCAAAGGGATATATAATCTACGAGATCAAAAGGTTCAACGAAAGGAACTGCCAAGATTTTGCTAAAGGGGGTGCGTGATTTTTCAAGGTTAAAACTCGAACCCAAACCAGTATCCTTCGAGCCCTCTAGATTTTACTGAATTCGAACACAAACCCGAACCCTTTTTAAAAATTTAGGAATGTTATTCTCTCAATGATTATATTAAGAAATATAAAAATTCGTTTAATAAAATTTTAAAACACTAATGCAATATATAAAATTATTTTTTTAAATGTGTTGTATTATTCTAATTATAATTTTGATGATAAATTAATCTTACGGTGAATGCTAAATATAATTTAAAAAAAAGAAAAACTGATAAATTTATTATTTTAATTCTTGGAATCCTGAACTCGAATTTGGTTTGGGGATTTTTAATTGAACTCAAACTCAAACCCGAACCCTTTTTTTTAGAACGAGGAGGCATAATCTTGGGTTTTCCCATATATTTTATTGATGGTTTAGGCCCACATATTGTAGACCCTTGGCTATGTTAGATTTGTCATTTTTTAATATAAAAATGTTTATCTTCTAAAAAAATTTTATAGTCAATATTTTAAAAAATTATTAATTTTTACTTATTTTTCTTTCAAATTATAGTTTATAGTTATATTGTATAGTTTTGAGTATGAGGGGTTGGAGTTTATGTAGGGGTTAGGGTTAATTAAAATAATACTTAAGACATGCTAATTTCTGAAGGTAGGGAAATACCTCCTTGCCCTCTTCACTAACTAAGGGTTAACATAAGCAATATTAAGAATAAGACGGTTAGGCACGAGATGAACCATAATTTAACATTATCATAAAGTTACCACTAGCAACTCATTCTCTCTTTCTTTAAAAGAAGGATATGGAAAAGGCCGTTTTGTTAAATGATATCAAATTGCTTCTTTCGAGGGATATGTTATATATTTTTTTAGAAAATAGCAGTTACATGCAAATATATCATTTGCACAGCCAGGTTAGGATTTATTTTAAAAAATTATTTTCCCCCCTCCTCCCACCCCCGACCTGGATTTTAAAAAAAATTCCCCCGATTTATTTAAAAATCATGGGATTTGTAATCGACACTCTTGCCGACTAGGCCAAAGACGCTTTCCGAAAACCGCGATTTTTCAAATATATATTAAAAATAAATTTGGCAGGACCTATCCAAAAGAAAAATAAACATAATACAAATTTGTTAGGCACTACCTTAAGGTAATACCTATCATTAACCAATTCTGCCAGGGTATATCGATTTTTTATACGGTCAAGTTATTTAAAAATGTTTTTATATTCCGGAATTTTATAGATCGTTTTACAGCGAATATGAAATCCATATATATAACTTTTCAAATTATTTTATTTCCTCATTTGTCGTAAAATAAATGAGTTTGAATTACCACACTTTCGATTCGACTAGTCAATGGTAATTTCCCTCATTTCTTGTTCCTCTTGTAATTTAAAATATTTATATAAGTGTCAGTCATTTTGTGCTATCCCCCCGTCAAAATATGTAATTGCCTAAATTTGGGACAGAGAAAAGGAAGATATAACTATAAATTTTTCTAAGAATCGAAAAAATGGAAATGTGAAATATGATAAGTGAATAAATAGGGTATTTTAAAATAAAATTTTTAGGTCCAGCCGCCCGGGTACAATCAAAAAAATATTGTCGGCTTAGGGTTGAACTTCCAGGTCTCTGAAAAATAGTATTTATATATTAGAGATTTTGCTCAAGTTGCCCAACCAGTTAGCGATTCGGTTCATAATAATTTTTAAAAAATTTGCCCGGCATGTTAAAAATTTTCTACAGTTCCGGCTTGTTAAAATTTTACAAAAATTTCACCTGGAATGAATGAATGAATTTCTAATAAATGGTATAATTTAAGTTGTGTCCAAAATCATTTTAAAAAAATTCGAGAAGTTTTAAAACTTTCTTAAATTATAAAATTTTAAAGATATGGTATGTTAAATTTTTGAAATTTATAAAATTTTCTAGAATTATGTTTTAGACATCTTTTTATTTTCAGACGCATTTATTTATTTTGTGAATTTATTTTTAAAATTTAAAAAAATAATAAAAATAAATAAATTATATCCCTCGAAAGAAGCAATAACAAGGTGGGTTCATACATATATGTATGGACCTTAGCATAGGCAACTATAAACACTGAATTATTAATAGAATAATACAAACCGACACTTCTATTCACAAATAGAGAATATAATGCAGTGTCTACATGAAAAAATGAAGTAGGTAAAAGTCATGTGCATCCAAATATCTTTTGGAAAATGATTTCAAAAATGAAGAACAGGAAGTAAATTAAAATTTTCAAATTATAGAAATTATTTCGAGGGCCGTTCGCCAGTGTAATAATGCTTATTTAACTCCCATTTTTATTCTCTTTATTGAATTTAACAAAATCAGTATAGTTATATTAAATTTTTACAGAATTGGTAATTTTTTATTCTGAGTTTTAATCTATAATTCTATGTAGTAGATTTGTTTTATTTATTATAACAGTAAATCCATTGTGATTTTTGTTATCCATGGAAATTATTTAGTGAGATTAAATTCATAAAATACTATCTTTATTTATAAATCTATAAAACATATTGATATTATCCAAAACAGAGCATCCTGAATAAACGGAGAACCTAAGAGATTTATTTAAGCTTAAAATTTTTTTAAAATGTTGCTATTAATAACTCGATAGAAAATGTTAAATTAAACATTTATGCCTAAACACTCCCATCAGAGTTATTAAAAATTTTATCTTCATCGTACAGCCGGGCTTCAGCAATTAAACCATTAAAACTCAAGTCGTAATGGCAGAAAAATAATAAATAAAGTATAGATTGGGACAGAAATTTCTAAATATTTTTTATGCAGATTTTAATCAATGATAAAATAAAGGTAAAACCCATTTTATATTTAATTAAGAATAGATATTGAGAGATCCGACGATATAAAGCTATGGACATTGATAAATTTATTAAATAAATTCAACCCTAGTAGCCAGCAGTTTTTTTCTAATAAACCAACCTTACTATATAAAAAACCCATTCAACAATAGCTAATACAATAATTACCATAACTTTATTGACTAAATCAGAGACCTATCGATTGTTTTGAAAATTAGAAAGCACAAAGTTAATTTTTGTTTGATAGACTTTTTTATATTTTATTTCTTATGATATATACCATATAAATTTATTAAAATAATTATACTTTATAATAGATATAAATAATTTCATTTTGTTTATTATAAAATATTAAATTATAATGAGAATATTATTTAATTATAAACATTTACCTATAGCCCGGAATATCAAGCAGAAGAACAGCGTAAAAGAAGTAAAGGCAATGTTCCAAACGTGAACATCAACGACAGCAGACAAACCTAAGAACAAGAATATTATGCTCTCGCAAATACTGCTCAGAGTCTTCATAGTGTATTTCACCGTTATATTAGACTTTAAGCTTATGTTCGCTTCAACAAAGGGTCGCATTATTAAGCCACAAAATACAATTCTTTGAAAATAGAGAAATTATAATAATTTTTTTTACTAATTATTTAAAGTCGGGTTCATATTTAAGTTAATATAGCGTCCTAATTTTTCTAAGTATGAAAGAATGCTGTTAATGTGGATCTTGGAAGTAACCCTATAGTAGCAGCGCTAAATTTGTTGAATAGCAGGCAACAATGCTACTTTTTATAAAAAGTAGCTGTCAACATTTTTTTTTCGAGTAGACATGCAAAAATATTCTACTTATTTTAGCTTTTTAAAAATATTAATTAATATTTTAAATGATGAATAAATTTTTAATTTATTATTTATTTCATTAAATAAAATGCACATATTTTAAAAATTCAATTTATTCATACCTTTTATGCATTTATTTAATTAAAAATCTATATGATCATATCATATTCATAATAATCTTAAATACAGGGTTTCCGATTAAAAAAAGGAAAAGTTTCAATCATAAAAGGAAAAATTCGATCAATAAAGGAAAAGGGTCAATCATAAAAAGAATAGGTTCAATCAAAAAAGGAAAAGGTCCGATCAAAAAGGAAAAGTGTCAATCAAAAATGGAAAAGGTTCAATATAAGGGGGAGCTGATAAGTCCAAAAGACTTAGAGAAAAGTCCGATCAAAAAGGAAAAATGTCAAATAAAAAAGGAAATGGTTCAATCAAAAAAGATAAAGTGTCAAACAAAAAAAGAAAAGGTCCAATCAAAGAAATAAAAGTGTCAATCAATAAAGGAAAATTCCCAAAAGGAAAAGAAAAGTGTCAAACAAAAAAGGAAAATTCCTATTTAAAAAGGAAAATCGTTATTTTTTAAAAAATTTATAAATTCTTTTTCTTGTCAATTTTCTTAAATTTTTATTTTTCCTTCTTATTTTATTTCTAACTTTTTCCGATTTCTTTACTTTATTTTTCTTCTCATTTTTGATAATTCTTTTGTCTTTTTAAAAATAATTTATAAATTTTCCCTGTTATTTTTTTTTACTTCTCTACACCATTTTTTAACAATTCTTGTATTTTTTTCCATCATAGATAACAATATTTTGTCTTTTTATGATTTTTTCTCCTTATATTTTTATCTTTTACTATATTTCTAACCTTTTCAATCGCTAAGTCATTTTTAATCTTTATTTTTTTGATATTTTCACAATTTTTTTCTTCTCATTTTTGAAAATTCTTTTTAATTTTCAACCTAATTTTTATTACTCATTGGCAGACAATTTTTTTATTGGAAATTTTTACATACCAAAATATTTAATTAGAATTGCTGGAAAATTAAAAATAATTACAAAAAAGAATTATCAAAACTGAAAAGAAAAAAAAATTGAGAAAAGATAAAATAAAAATTAAAAATGACTTAAAGAGATTGAAAAAGTTAAAAATATATGTAAAAGATAAAAATATAAGGAGATCATAAAAAGTCAAAATATTATTATGTATGATGAAAAAAGGCTCCTAAGATCGGAGAGAAGGAAGTATGTATATTTGATAAGGCCAATGAGATTGAAGCCGATATGAAATGCAATAAACTATATGACGCATATAAGAAATTAAAGATCTTCTGCAATCTTCGAATTTTAAATGTCTCCCAAAACTTAAAGTAAATAATATTATAAATGCGACCCAAAGGAACAGATAATGTGGCTGGACTACTATTCTACTATGTTCAACTCCGAACCTCTGGTACCATCTATGAGGTGCGACCAAACTCTCTCCAATTCAAATTTTACAACATTGGAGATTAAGAAAGATATTCTAAAGTTAAGTTAAGAAATAACAAAGCTGCTGGATTAGAATCAGAGCCTAACATCTAAAAATCTATCCGAACTATATGTCAATCTTCCTACTAATAGTTTTTAATAAAATCTGGGTTTCTGGTATTACCCCAAAAGATTGGAATTAATCCTATATCTGTAATTTCCCGAAGATTCCATATCCATTTACTTTCGACGATTATAGAGCTATCGCACTGACTTCCATTGCATCAAAAGTCTTCATGGTACTTTTAAAAAACGAATACTAATATCTACAAGTCACCTACTATCCAACAATATGTGATGCGCTTCTAGACCTGGCAGGGATATCTTGTAGCCTATTTTAGATATAACCCTACAGAAAAATTTCAGATATAAACTACCTCTATTGTTCATCTTCGTAGATTTTAGGAAGGCATTTGATTGTATTAAACATGAAGTTCTCTGGAAAATCTTAACGGACAGTGGTGTGGACCTGAATATAGTAAAAATCCATAGTAACCATTAGGGCTTTCTATTGTCTACTTTTAAAGTGGAGAACGTTCAATCTCCTTCCTTTATGGTACGAAAAGGAGTTAAACAAAGGTGTGTCCTATCACCGATTTTATTCAATATAATCATGAATAAAATAATTGCAGATACGCTGGAACGTTTTTATTAAGTTTATTCTGTCATGATAACCTCAACTTGAAACACCGCATAATTTCCTAGGCTGACGATATAGAAATTATCCCTAAGAGATGGAAGAAGCCTCTTATATCCTAGATATACTCAAAGCATATAGTGGAGAAATGAGCTCATGATCAACTAGAATAAAACAGTCATTATGCCCTCTCCATGGGCAGAGATAAGTCCAATTCACACCATTGAAATGTTGGGGATTAGATTGATCAAGAAATTCAAAAACCTTGGGGTAAATTTGGATAATAAAGGTCATATAAAGAACGAGGTAGAAATGAGATTAAAGCATGCAAAATCAGTATCTTAAATTATGGATGACTAGTAAAATATCGGTTAAAAGTAGACTCATCCTTTTATATGGAAGTGATACGTGGGATGTTAACAAAACACAGATTAAAAAACTTCAGGTTTTTGTTAACAGATGTCTGAGACTTATTAATGGCTATACACATCCCAGAGTTATTTCAAATGTTAGTTTATGGAATTTATCCAAACATACTTCAGTAGCAGTGTAACTGAAAAAAAAGAGTACAGTTGTTCGCACATATTCTGTGCAGAAATCAACTTAGCCTATGAAGCCCTCAGCTGGCTCCCAATTTATAAAAACAAAAGTTACTGCAAATATAAAACGTACTGGTTTAACAAAACTCTAATGGATATTTTAAATATGAATATTAGCCTAACACAATTCTCCCTTCTAAACAATACCAAAGGCTCTAAAAATGAATTACTTGAATAAAAATTTAATTACCTTATAAACCATTAATCTCCCTTATAATAATAGCCCGTTCTTTTAATGTTTCCTTTGTATATCTAAACCTAACATTTTACACTCATCTAGATGATTATTCTATTTTATTTTGCTCAACGTAAGTCTTTGAAACCTTATTTAAAATATTATCATAATATTATGCTATTGTATTCATTTAAGCCGAGTCTATATTATCTATTTACACTTACTTCAGGTTTCTCTCAATACTAATTAAATAAAATTAATATAGCCAATATTACCCTTCCATAATCAAATCTTATTTAATCGGGCATGGGCTTTTTACCTCTCCTTTTATTTTTCATGGGCGTTTAAGTAGGGGCTTTGCCTCTTGCGTGCACAGATAACTGCGGCCTGCCCAAAAAACGTGGATGGTCCTCTTAATTATTGAATTATTTCCCATCTTTATCACAGTTAGATGGGCTTTTAATGAGAGAACCAAGCGTTGCTCTATTTTATTTATATATTATATCTCTGATATATATGACGTTTTAGGGCTAGTGCGCTTAATATCACGTATCACGTAATAAAAAGGAAAGAATTGTTTTTAAAAAAATGGTGTAGAGAAGTAAAGAAAATTAACAGGGAAAATTTATAAATTATTTTTTTAAAATAAAATTATCAAAAATGAGAAGTAAAATAAATTGAGAAAAGATAGTAAGAAAAATAAAGTAAATAAATCGCAAAAAGTTAAAAATAAAATAAGAAGGAATAATAGAAATAAATAAAAATATAAGAAAAATTTAAAAAATAGCGATTTTCCTTTTTTGAATGGGAATTTTCCTTTTTTGATCGAACCTTTTCCTTTCTTGATTGAACCTTTTCCTCTTTTGATCGGACATTTTCTTTTATGATTGAAAGTTTTCCTTTTTTGAATGGGAAACCCTGTAAGTTGTAAAATTTATATATTATGTTTAAAGCAAACTAAGAGGGGGATTTTATTTTAGAAATTAAATTCGTTTCATCATCATCAGATTCCACATTTAAAAAAGATAACCTGACAAAATGAGAATAACTCACATTATAAATTTTTAGTTGATGTTTCCGATGGTGATGATCATAAATAATAAATATATTTATTATATAACTAATTTTTTAAGATTATCAATATCAAACACCAATATTTAAGGAGCTCCTTCTTTACGCCTTTTTATAAAATATAATTTTATCCCATCCAGTTCCCCTACTGAGAGTCTAGTACAAATGTTTTTTTTGGAAAAAAGATGTTCTTTGTTAGATAAAAACTTTGACAATAAGCTAATACATAATTGACTAAGTAAAATTATATATAATTAGTTTTATATTATATTATGAAAATATTTTATTTTGTATAGAATGGATATTTATTTTAAATTTTAAAAGATTTTTTATGATTATTAAAAAAATATATAATTGGACAATATTTTATTTGTCAGCTCCTAAAAAAATATTTCATGATAATATTTTTTTTTGTTGAATGGGGGTAGTTAGCCACAGCGCGCTACATTTTTAAAGTAGAGTTAAAACAGCATTGATCATCTGAGGACAAGCGATATTTATTATTTGATAAATTTATTCACATCTTAATTGTTTTTTTAAATAATGTAAACGAAGGAAAGCCTACGCTAATATTCCTGAAAGAGTAAACATATCGGCTACGATATACGACAAGTAGGCTAACAAGAAAACGAAGAGGGGTTCTATAATTCGGATTTTGTGGGTGTATCTTTATGTTTTTTAGAGAATAAAATATTTAATATTACATTTAACTGAGACCTCTAACAGAGGCACTTCTACTACGGGGGGAGGGGGGGGGAATAGAAGGAAAAGTATGACGCAAGTTCGTCATTGAAATATAATAGGGATGAAAGAGGGTTGGAAGCATGTATTAATTTTGATTTCCTGTTTTTGCTAATTGTAATTTAGATTTTTCTTATTGCTAATTTTTATAATAGGAATTTTCTTTCTATTGCTAAAATAAATTTAGGGGGGGGGGGCAGGAGGAGATACAAAGTTATTATGAATATAAGGGAAGGGGGCAGTCATAACCTGGGGGAGGGGTGTAGAGGTATCAGACTTGAGATTTCAGAATTAAGGGGGACTAGGGCACATCAAATCTACAGTCTGAAATTTAATAATATAGCAGAAAATAATAATATATAATTTTTTTTGTCACATAGTTTCCTTTTTTAAACACATGGTGACTTTTTCCAAAATAAAGTGTTCTATCAGGCTAATTAATAATTAAAAAAACTATAAAATTGTTAAAACCCATAAATGTTTAAAAAGAACACACTAAATGACTAAAAACACTAAATATACTCATATTAGAGATCTGCAAATGTAGGCCCGGCCCGTACCCGGCTCAAACCAGGCCAGCCCAAACGGGCTTTGGGCCGGGTCGGGCCTAATATTTTTTAAGAAAATTCGGGCCGGGTCGGGTCTTAGAAATTTTTTAAAATATATCTAAATTTATCAATTTTATGTTGAATTTTTTATGTAAAATAAAAATATGTAATTTTATTTATAGAAAGTAGACGCCAAATAACATATATCGTTTATTTTGAATAATTATAAAAATTAATTTCTATATTTAAATCAATTCAGGCCGGGCCGGCAAAATTTTTTAAAAAATATTTCGGGTTCAGGCCGGGCCAGACAAAACTTTATAAAAAAATTTCAGGCCGGTTCGAGCTTGAAAAATTAGGCCCGATGCAGATCACTAACTCATATCGCAACGAAATACTTTTAAGTCAGTTTATTAAAATACTATATTAGAAAATTAACATTTTTTTATCAAGTTATATAAATATTCTTAGATACCATAGATAATCTATTAAATCAAAGCTTAGCTCCATTTCATCAGATGTGTGAGTTTTATATCACAAAGATTAACTATTAAATAGGGTTTCATGTCAATTCAGCTATACTTTTATCGCGAAACACATTTTCGCAAAAATTTTATCGCGAATTTCGTTTAACGTGAATGGATTCTATAGCGAAACTTTTATGGCGAATCCAAATTTGCGAATATTATTAAGACAATATTGTGAAACAAACATCGTTAATTTTTTATAGCGAAACCCTTATCGCGAATACATTGCGAAACTTTTATCACGATTCAATAATCGCGAAAATTTTATGCCGAAGTCATTATCTTGAAACCCAAATCGCGAATACAATATAGCGAAAACAATTTTGTGAAACATATATCGTGAAGATATTATGGCGAGGTCAAAAACATTTATTTTTATGATCATATTTAATTGAATAATATTTTTTTTAAATTTGTACAAGATTGATGACAGGGTTTTTAATTTTCTTTTATCCTTAATAAATTTATAGAATGATTAATGAACTTAGATTTGGTTTATAAAATTTTTTATTGGTGTAAACTTTTCTTGTCATCCTGTCCTATGTTTTTCCTTAATGTCTTATTAAGAAACGCGAGAACACAGGCTTTATTAATATATTGATCATTGAGTTCTTTAGTTAAGCCTTGATCCTTACACGCAAAATCGATATTCTAGGTTTGGCCAATATTTATTGTCTTATGAGTAGTTAATATTTATATATTTATCAATCAGTTTTGCCAGTCACTATCCAAAAACACAGTTATAAAGCTAAATAAAAAATATAACATTAATCATTAGTTTTTATCAATTTTTGAATGGCGGAAAATAAATTACATATGAGTGATAAGGGGTTTTTCCAATTTCAAAATATTTTTGATTTTATGATTTACGATTTTTATCTTTTCTGTTTACTGAGATATGAAATATTAATTTTAAAAAAATTGATAGGAATCTGAATCTAATATTAAGACGTAGCCAGCGAAAAGTTTGCTAAACTTCGGCAAGCATTAATTCTGAAGCTTAAGACAATATGTAAGTTACAATACAAATTTGGTTCAACATATTATTTTTTTCCTTTTAATTACTCAGAATTAAAACTAATTTAAATAATTTTCACTGAATTCCCAAAAGATGATTTTGCTAAGTAGGAATTTTTATTTTCTCAAAATTGAATTTCTTAGAAAATATAATATATCGCTCAGAAATTTTCACTATTTTTTTTATTTTTAAGTGCATAAGGATGAATTAGAATTTTAAAATTAATATTACTCTATATCTGCTGGTTTATGTCATTATTCATGAAGGGGTGGGTAAACATTTCCAAAAAATATCTAGGGGCATCAAGTGGAAGCCAATAAAATGATTTTGAGTAATTAAAATTCCATCACTCTATTTAGGCTCTCCTATCAAGGTTTGGAGAGATTTAAATTTATTTTACAAGAAATATCCGACAAGGACAGCAAATAAAACAGAATAACAATATTTTTTGAGTGCTATTATCCACCTAGGTTCTTTGATCTACCTCATTGATAAATGAAACAGAATAAAAATATTTTTTGAGTGCTATTATCCATCTAAGTTCTTTGATCTAGCTCATTGATAAGGGGGGGGGGGGGGGGTAGGGGCTGGAGCATGTAAAAACCTACTTTGAAATAAATTTATATAAGAGTGTTAAATGAAACGAATTTTAAAAAAATATTTAATTTTACAGTCAATTTGTTTCAAGACTAAGCCTTATTGGGGGGGGGGGGGTAAAATATTTATAACATATATTTCCACATGGGTATTAAATGAAGCTAATAAAAGGATAGGTTTACTAGTGATCTGCATTCGGGCTTATTTTAAGCCAGGCCCGGCCCGATTTTTTTAAAAATGTTTTGCCGGCCCAGCCCGAACCCGAAATTTTTTAAAGAAAATTTACCGGCCCGGCCCAAACTTATATTTAAATATAGAAATTAATTTTAGTAATTACTCAAAATAAAAGACTTAGGTTATATTGTGTCTAGTTCTATAAATAAAATAAAATATTTTTATTTTACATAAAAAATTCTATAAAACTGATAAATTTAAGTATATTTAAAAAAATTTCCAAGGCCCGGCCCGACCCGACCCGCACTGAAGCCCGTTCGGGCCGGGCCTACTTTTGCAGATCTCTAATGTTTACATTGTTATTCATATCTATGTTTTTAGGGTAAATCTGGGAAAGGAGGGAGGATGTTATGACATGTGTTTATGACTTAAGGAACTTTTGAGGGTATTAATATTCATTTCCTTTAAATAAATGCATCTCAATATATTCATTGTTTCGCGGTAATTTGCTCGCCATAATGACTTCGCGCAAATACACTCGCAGTAGAAAATTGGCAATAAAGTGTTCACGATAAAAATTTTGCTATATCGGGTTCGCCATAAAAGTTTCCCTTAATGTATTATTTCTAAAGTATTCGCAGAATTGGTTTCGCGATATTACTTTCGCTATAAAATTCCGTCACGATAATTGCCATGATATGATTAATTAGTATTTTTTTAATATTAATTGTCGTGAAGGATAAATTTGAGCCTGTCAGACTATGTAGGACAATTTAAGTAAATCAAATTTCACTTTTTATAGAATAATATTTATTTATCTATAATTTTATTGGATTAAAGTTTCATTTTAGTGTTTATAACTCTTAATCCTTATTGTTAAAAAAGGTAATAATATTAATCTTTTTGTATAGTTCGGTGTAGGGGCCTACTTACCTTACTGTCATATCCAATAATCTCCCCTACTGCGTTCAACCTATCCCGTTTCTTTGCCTTAGTATATGCAAGGCAGATTTGCTCATAGATGGCAGAAATATTTGGACATCTATTTGCTAAATCTCGAGGTTTACATAGTATTATTTTGGCTAAAATCTTAATCAAGCCGATTTTTAAAATTGACCAAAATCGGGCCGTTTAACAACACTACGTATGCTTGAAAAAAATACAAATGGATCAAAAAACATTAAACCTTTTTAGATAACAGGCAATATTTTTTTTAAATAAAATATGGCTTGATGTGCTCAGGTCTAGTGATAGTTAAACGTCCATCCCTTCTTTAATTTTTTAGGACGGGTCGCTTTCCAACCTTATCATTGAACCGGATACATCCATGTTTGTCTCAGTTCTAACTTTTCCCCCGTAAAATTTAATTAATAAAAAATATAATTTTTAAATTCATTACCTTATTTTTATTTATATATTCATATTAATTCTTAATGAAATATAAAAAATTACTTTTATTATAAAATTCGAAAAATAATACTGTACTTAGTAAGCCAACCTGTGAATATTCCGAACAGAATTCCAATCAATGTTCCACCTAAGGATACTACTCCAAACGATATCATGCCAAATATAATGTCCTTCGTGATTATGTTTTCCAAGCCAATTTCACTAAAAGACCCAAACAGATTATATAACACCTAATAATTGTAAATATATTTTATAAAAGTTATGTGATTTTGGATTAGCTGCAAAGCTTTTGATAAAGCCTATGTCTTTCGATCCAGGTATGATCGAATTGTTCATTAATATATAAGAATATTTTTAATATAAGTGCAATTTAGATTTTCATATATTGGCATTTAAACTAGTAAAAATAAGGAAAGAAAAATTAATATAATTTTATATAAGAATAAAATGATATATGGATCTTAAAGAAAGTCTGACAGGAGATTACAGATTGTATAATAATAAAATAGAGAGTGATTTTGGCATTGTAAAAATAGTTCAAAGGTTCAAATTATCAAAAAATTTTCAGTAACACCATAATGATAATTAGAAAGTGGGAATGTAGAATGACAAAATTTAGAAGAGTTATTGATGATTAATCTGATATGAGTAGGCGGCGTGTACGTAGCGGAGAGGGGGGGGATCCAGATGTCCTAAAATATTTTTCAAAAATATTACTAATTCCTACATCTTATCGCATAATATTCCAATTTACATTTATTTACAGCAGAAATATACGCTATTAATTTATTTTATGAATTAATATCTTTCAAATTTTCCTTGGCGTTATATTTATATACCATTTAAAATTTCCCACCAAATCATTTGAAACCTTTTCATTACAAAACTAAAGTAAAATATTTCAAAAAAATGACATCAATTGATTGAGACTATGTAAATAGCTGAAAGCATTATACTGAAACTTGACAAATTTCATAAATTATATGTCATTGTTGAGTCAAAAGCAGAACTCTATGAATTTAATATTTGTCTACCTCATATGGTGAGTTGGAGAATATAAAATAAATCTATTTATATCCCTCTTAGATACTTTTATAAGTCAAATGAATGAAAGATTCTAGATTAATCAGACATCACTTACAAATCTGCTAATATTATTACCGCAGAATCCTCCCGAATCTATTTCAAATCTTGATAGAGAAAAAATTAAATATTTGGCAGATTTATATTGTAAAGATTTAAAGTATCTCATGATGTCTTCTTTGCAAAATGCAAACTATGATATAAATGGTTAAACATGGGTGATAATTTCTAAAAAATTCTATAGATGCTTCGCAAAATTTACCAATGAAAGAACATTTTCTTCTTTAAAATCAAATATAACAAAGTAATATTGTTAAATGGCTCAATTTGAACTGATTTTGAAAAAAAGGTTAACTTAATATTTATGGTAGAATTTTGCCTAATTCTCCAGATTTGGCTAACAAATAGTCAAACCTTAGGTTTGCGTAATATTTTTCTGAATAAAATATTGAGTTAGCAGTTTATAAAAATCTGTTCAAATCGATTGTTTAACAACATTACTGAGAAGTACTACCTCTGAAAATCGATTGAATGGGTTTTAGTCCTTCTTAATATAGGGAGTTGACACCAAGCCTGAATGAAATCAAAATTAGCTTAGCCCCAAAGAAGATTGAATTTTACAATTTAAATTTATAATATCTTCTTAATATCTTTTTTCATTTTAAAATAAAAACACTATATTTTTATTCATGAATACTTTGCAAGTTAATACATTCAATAATTTCTTAAGAATATTTTGTGCATTATATTTCCAACATTTTTTTAAAATATAATTTAAATTTATCAAATTTTAAATGCTTAAAAAATTTATATCTTTTTTATACAGTTCGAGACGTTTAATATTATAATGATTCAAAGCCGCGATTATACATATTTAACATTTTATAATAATTTATATTTGAATTTGTGTGTATTAGAAATGTCAATATTTTATTGTCATCTTAATAAATTTATGAAACTTAAGATATTCTTAAATAATTTTTATAAAAAATTAATTACCCCCTCCCCCTCATATTGGATTCTTGCGTACGAGCCTGGTAATGAGATAAGTCATAGCTGCTGATTCGAATGAACATATAAATAAGAAGTGAGAATGATCCATGAGATGCCATATATGAAATAGATATGGTGATATAAATGGCAGAAGCAGAGATATAGAAGATTATTGCTAACTTAGCAATTAAAAATATTTTATAATAAAATAGATGCACACCTCGTGGATAGATTAGATATTGCAAAACAATACTAAATAATAATAATTATAGAAATTTTTTAATTATATCTTTTATTTTTGTCATTGTATTAAATATTCATCGATTTTTAATATTTTTTTCTTCTTTAGCTTTCACCTTTTTCCTTCAATACCTCTCTCCACTTTATGTTATTTATACTAGCACTTTTATCTCACTTATACTTCTTCATATTGGCTCTAACTTTATGGCCCCATTGAAGTTTTGGCCTTCCTCTTTTACGTTTGCCCATCACTTCCAACAACCTTATTTCCTATGTAGTTCATAGGTCTTCTCATTGTGTGTCCATACCACCTAAGTCTGTTTACCATTATCTTAGTCATAATGAGCACGACCTTGAAACTTCCTAGTATTCTTGTACTGCGCACTTTATCCTTTCTTGTTACCCCAGCAATCATTCTCAGCATTCTCATCTCCATAGTTTGTAGACTTCTCTCGTCTGATTCTTTGGTAGGCCATGTTTCCGAACTATATAGAATAGTTGATTGTACTATGGAACTGTAAATTTTTCCCTTCAATTTGTGTGGGATTCTTTTCTCAAAGAGCACTCCAGATAAAGATCTCCGGTTTAACCACCCTTGATTCATTTTACTCTTTATCTCTTTCTCTATTGTGCCGTTTGTTTGTATAGTGGAGCACAAATATTTGCAGCTTTCAATTGCCGCTATCTGCCATGCTTTTCTAGGATATTTATCCAACTCGCTAATCTTTCTTTCATTTCATCCTTGGATTCGGCAAGTATCACAATATCATCTGTAAATATCATATTCCACGGGACTGTTTGAGGTATAGACTGTGATAATACATCTATTACTGTATTTTTAATTTTTTTCCGGGTTAAATTTTATTTAATTATGAATAAAAATATAAAAAAAATTATTTACAAAATAATACATCCAAAAATGCATAGAGCATATTTAATAGCTTAAAAAATGTCAACTTTTCAAGATTCCCAAATTGAAGTGGCTAAAAGAAATTTTAAAAAGAAACATATCACTGATGAATAACTTATGCTACAATATATTATCAATAATTATTCAAATGCAAACCAATATAACATTTACTTTCACACAATGATTAGAATTTTATTAATAATTTTTTCTAAATATTAAATATTTATTTAAGCATATAACACCTACTATTCTATCTAGGAGGACACTAGTAGAATCTGTATTCAGCGATGCAATAAATATTCATACGTGATAGAAGAAATATTACTTTGTTAAAACTTTGAAAATGTATAAATTAAATATTTTTTTAGTATTAATGTTATTCCATAAATATTTTAATGGATAATATATTTTTGTAATATTTTATTAAATGCATTTACTTTAAGGTTTAATAAAATAAATTCAATACCAAAAAAATTTGCATCTAAAATGTATCAATTTTCTAAATAGGTATCAATTTGTGCCACGATGTACAGACCTTTTATTATTTGTATCGGTCGAGTTCGATTTTTAAATAGTTAATAAGTCTGCAAAAAATAGGCTTACTATGGCCACACCATCGTTTAACAATGATTCTCCAAAAACTATAATATGAAGAATTTCATTAACGTTGGCCTCCTCGAAGACGGATAAAATGGCTACTGGATCAACTGCGGATATCAAACTACTAAAAAGTAAACAGTGCATCAGTGGCACATCGACGCCAATCATACCTAAATATAAAAAAGATTAAGTAATTAATTTATGTATTAATTGAATATTCATGATTTCGTCAATATTTTGGTGAGCAATTTTTATAATAAATCTATTTCCCCTTGATTAATATTTAGAATGTTTATTTCAACAAAATTAGAATTTTTATAAAAAAACTATTAGTCTTGATAGTAGTATAGAGAACTCAGATATAAAAGATTTATAATTTACGAAACAACGTAGCCTAAAATCTTTTTTACCCCCTAATCTAGAACCTCATGGTCTTTTCCGATCTGATCAAAAACTTTCTGACGTGATTCCTAATTTCATGGAAGAGTGGTCAATTCCTGGTCTGGGACAATTCTTGTATCGACCCATTGTCAACCCTTCAATTATACCCTGAACATACTTGATAAAAGGGTACAACTGATAGTTCTGAAATATTCTGAAATTTCGTATTACCACATATCATTCTTGTAATTTTTTCCATGAAGACCATTTTTAGGAATGTGGCTTTATTATTTTTAAGCTAGGTTCTAAGATTGCCAATCTAACTGATCCACTTCGTGTAGGTGTAGGCTTCTTTTTAAGGTGAAGGCTAGTATCACTATTCACAAAGCTAATTACATCACTTCATGGGTAACTTCACCCCAAAAGATGATTATTTTTAATTAGGGATGTAAACCCGGATCCGAATACTGAATTCTCATATCTTTGCAGAACCTAAACCCGGACCCTTTTAAAAAGTGGATGGTTTAAGAGTTCAAGGTATCAAAAAAAATATAAAAAATTTTTCAAAATAATATTTAAAATTTTATTTTATTTTATCATAAAAAATAAATTAAAATTTTTTTTTTGTGAATTATTATTTTTTCTTCGAAATTTTCAAAATTTTTAGTTTTTATAATAATGATAACACCTTTGATGACTTTAAAAATTTACTTTAGATAGAAAAAAATAATAAAATTCTTATCAGATGAAACGGAGGAACCACGAATTCCTATATCATTTTTAATCGAAAAGTTTTCACAGGTTGAGAGAATAAATAAAGATGCAAATCTATATATATAGAATGGTGTACTAGCGGTACAAGTACTATAGTTTATAATGTATCATATAGATAGTATTTATTTTAGGTCAGCGTATAGAACGTGCATTTTCTTTTTTGAATTACATATTGTTAAATTTGCGTGGAAATTGCAAAGATGATATTTTAGAAGATGCTATGCTATAATTGTGCGGTTAAATAAAACATTAAAATATAAATTATAAATTATTATTTAAATTTTTTATCCCATTCAAAATGTGCTTCAGTTAATTTCAATGATGATGAAAAGTCTGCTCTCTCTATTATGTAGAGGTACTGTTTTAGTCTAAAAAAAATTTCTAAAACTATAATTGCTGAGTTGCAAAGAGAGTTCTAGGCTTACGATTTGGTTTATGTTTATTAAGGTACATTTTTGTGGGTCAAAACCTTTAGTTTTTTAATCTAAGGATTTTAAAAAAAAATTATATTTATTATATAAATTATAATTTGTATTGGAATATGAGATCCACAAGGATTCGGAATTTTTCTTTTCTGAATCATTTACTGAGTGCGATTTTTAAAATTAAGATATCTGATCGAACTTGTATTCCGCATATATAGAAAATACCATTTTTGTAAAATTTTCACAATTTTGTAAATATTGATTTATATCAATTTTTATTTAGCTTTTTTTCTACAAACTTAAAGATAAATAGAAGTGCATTCCAAAATATGTCTAAGTGTATGTACTCTACATTCGAATCGAATAGTAATGAATACAAATAGTAAATTACTTGTTTAGTTCGAATCAAATTAAAAATTAATAGATTCGAATGATACAAATAATACGAAATATTTGATAAAGCTTTATTTGATAAATCGAATAATTCAAATATTCGGCGAATTATTTATGATTTATTTATTCGCTAATTAGTTGTATTCAATCGAATTATTCGAATAATTTGATCAAATATTAATAATTTGAGCGAATATTCTATTATTTTATAGAATTAATCACTTAAATAATAAATATGTTTTTAATAAAATTTAATCATTTGTCATTTCACTTCTATTGATAGCCTATAAAACTAATGGTTGATATGATTAGCAAGGTATACGTAAAGTGCAGGCCATTTTTTGGAACTAATTTGCTATCATAAATTTCATATCTTATAAAGTTGAAACAATAAGAAAAACTTTTCTTTATAAAAATTGGTTTCGCATTTTAAACTAAATGAATATGCATTATAATTTCGTAAAATTAGAGATGCATATAAAAAATATTAAAAATTTTGTCTATATATTCTTTATGATATATTTTATAATATTTAAAAAAAACAAATAATTTGAATCAAATACACATAGTAAATTTTATTATTCGTACTAAACGAATAGTAAATTATTCAATTCGTTTAAATGAATCGAATATTAATAATGCATTATTCGTTTCATATTTGAATAGGCTAATATAGATAATAAAAAATAAATAAATGAAAAAAATGGTGTTATATTGACTCAATATTTCTTTATATTCTCCAACCCCTGAACCCAGAACTATAACCCGAACCCTAGACCTGAACACTTCTTAAAAATTTAATTCTGAACCATGACCCTCTTTTTTTGTGAAATGGTTTACATTTACATCCTTGTTTTTTAATACATTAATTTTGATCTATTAATTAGTTATTATATATATTATTTTTTTAAATAATATTTTAAAGGAATTTTTTGTTATAATTATATTTTTTTTAATTATAATTATATTTTTTTGATATTAAGATTTTTCTTATTATATTTTTTATTGATTTTTTATATTTTCGTCCCGATTGCCATGCATATAGATAGTAAATAATATTAATATAAATAGAAAATAATTAGATAGTAAAAACATATGAGGGCTAAACTTACTTAAATATTCTTATGACATTTAATATATTACTTAATTACCTGTTTTCGCGATACCCCACAGTGATAATCCTGTAGCAAATGTGTTCCAAATAGTTCCAACTATTGCCAAGAGTAATATAGTGCCTATATTTTCAAAAAAAGGTCGGAGGGACATAAAGTACCCAGCGTCTAATACAATAGGCGGAAGCAAAAAAAGGAAAAAGAGGCTTGTTGAAATTGTGTAATTGATGCCTTGGATTCTGGAAAAAAATAACACCAACCCCGAGAGAACGCCTAATAGCAAAAGCATACATGACTCAGGAAAGTAGTTAGAGGGCGTTGGTGATATATAGAAGCCTAAAAGAATTTTAAAATTTAAATTAATATATTTACTAGAAAGATTATGTAAAAAAGAGGGAAAATTTTATTTACAACAGTAAGTATTCATTATCCAAGGGTTCTGTTGGTTAATGATAAACGGCGTCAAGTCATATCGATTTGCTAAACGACCAAATTATTAAAATAAAATAAAATAAGACCCATTTAAATATATATTAACAAATGCAATCATGCTCTTGCCAGATCTGATATATAACATACCCCGTAATAGTGATGCAAAATCGCCATTTAAAACGGTTTTTTAAGGCTAACTTAATATTTTAGAGAGAAAAATATTTCTTACTCAAAATTTCGCTGATAGATGTCCAAACCTTTGTGCCATCTATAAGCAAAATCTTCAGACTTGCATAATATTTCTTTGGATAAAATGCTAAGTTAGTCGTTTTTAAAATTCAACTTTGAGCGATTTTGTATCACTACCCCGTAACACGCAACGATCTAGGTTAGCTTCAGCAAAGGAATGGGCCAGTTCAGCCTGGGAACAAACCCAGAAAGAAGCCAATATTTGAATCCTCATTTAACAACTAAGCAACACATGCAACTACTCGAATATTAAAAACATATGTGGCAGTGGCGATCCAAACAAAAAATGTAAGACACAAATTTGTTAAACTATACCTTTGGCACCGTCTAGCATAAAACCAGTTCAGTTTCGATTCATATATAACGTTTGAGTTTAAATTTTTGAATCAGTCCTACTGACGAAATCTAATTCAAACTGACCTCCTATTAATTGAATATTAAAATTCATTTTTTACTATAATATTATGATCATAAAGATGTTATTTTTTTAAAAAATCTCTTCATATAATGTTTAGAATTATGTCTTACTATAATAGAAGAAGTATTATTTAAAGGTATTTTTTAATGCAAAATAAAACATTTACCAATTTGTACATGACATTACAAAAACATTTGAAATAAAACGCAAAGCGAAAACTCTTCAATTGTTTAGACACTATAAAGTAGGGGAGAGACCAGGGCAAGTCGGCGCAATTTTTGACAAAATCATCATAGGTCCGAAAGTAATTGTATTTGAATTTACAAAATACCATGAGATAACTTGAACACCTCCTTTATACTTTTTTCTCATGATTGATTCTAGCAAAAATAAATCTTTGCGACAACCAATTATTTTATTTTCCATAGGATAATTAATATTATTATTCTATTATTTTCATGTACAATGTTTTATTGATCATATAAATATACCATTTAAAGTAATTTATATAAAAATGACAAAATACGAATTATTTGGATTATAAAAAATGTGTAAAATTTTTAATAATTTTTTTATTTAATTCTATTGCACTAACTAGAATTGATTTAAATAAATAATAGTAACCATAAATATTTATTTTATATTATTGTATAAATATATTTTAATATATCATATTTATAAGCATGATTTGATTGATCCGATAAGCCCTGATTCGACCAGCCCCTAGTTACTAATATAATTATTATGATCCAAAAATATATTTAAACATGATATATGATTATAAACTTTCTGAAATGCAAAAAGAGGGTTTTAAATTTAAAATAATGTCAATTTAATTATTTTCTTTCCATTTTAATACTACCTAATATTGTAGTGTAAAAACATTTTGATTTTTACCTAAAAAACACATTTTATCATAAAATAATTTAAATAGCTAAAAAATATAAAGTATTTTTCGCCCCAAATATATGTACATATTTTACATATTATACAATGCTATTACATAATTAAATTTGAATTTCTAAACATGTCTGCTAGATAAAAATCCGCTGAACTGGTAAGCCCCTTGCGCCAACTAGCTCTAGTCCCCCCAATGTTTAATGTATTATATATATATTGAAATAAAAAAATGATGATTGCCTCGATATAAATTTTTTATAAATTGTGCAAAATATGTATATAAAACAACTAAAGCTATTATTTGTTTCGTAATATTACCTAATCGGGCTAAACTGGCTAGGAGCATCCAAATAGATATCATAAATGCCTTTTCCACGTGCTTAAAATCAACTGTGGCTATTTGATATCTCAGTATTTTAGGGTTATAATGTTCAGTTTCGGTCTCACCACCATGATCAGCTGCTAATGTCTTAACGACGCTTTCGATCAGGATTATCAATAAAAAAGATACTGGTATATATTTAATGTGAGATGTGCTAAGCATTTTTTTTCAAATTTGTAGTAGTTATGTTTCCCCATATTGTGATATATCTAAAAATACAATTTTTAAGATATTATGTTTTTTGAAGTTTGTGAAGGATTTTGATATTATAAATATAAAGTCGAAGGTATGAAATTACAAATTTTAATTTTAGATAAATGACTTTTTCTTCAAAGTATAAAATTTTTAATTTATTATTAAGATTATAATACTTAAACATAATATAATAAATAAAAAAAATCTTGAATGTTTTATTTTGACAGATCTTACATTTGAAATCTAAAAACAAACTCGGACTAATTTGATAAATATTGCCAACCCTGCAATAACAACTCTTATAAAACGATTTATTGATTTTGCAATTTATTGCCAAACATGGTTCTGAACCACACCTAGATTTCCTAATCTGTGTTCTGGTCTATTTTTCTGAATCGGACCCAAAAAATTTAGCGGTATAACCCTGGAAGAGACCGAATTTTTCCCCTGAACCTGGGTCATTTTCATCAATTTATTGATTTTTAACAAAAAAAATATTAGGTTACATCCAAACTAGATTTATTTGTTTTTACTCCTAATGCATTAAGATACAGCTGTCTTAACATGATTCCCGTTTTTCAAATTTTTTTTACCATTAATGGAATAAAAGTTTTTTAACCTTATATTTACAAAATAATCTTTACATACCTCATTCTATTTGATCTTTGTAATTTCTATTTTTACAAGACCTGGGCCGAACCCAGCTAAACCCTCGACCTAAGATTGGCCTGTCTGGACTAGCCTAAATAGAAAATTGAGCTTGAACCCGTCAAAATATTAGTTGTCCACAACCAAACCCTTATAAATCCTTTATGAGATCCTAGGGTATTTTTAAATAATATTTTAAACTTCGTAAAAGCCAATATCTTAATGGCTAATTAAAAAATGTTAAATTAAATCGGTGAATTTCATACGTGATTAGAATTTCATAGATAACTCACTTTTCCATTTGGAATACATATCTCTTTTTAAAAAGTTAAGTTATAGTTTTATATGAATTTTTTTAAGCAATCATTATTTATTTTTATTGACAATTATTTCGAAAATAATGTTAATAGACCTTAGAAGAAGAAAAAAATATCTTGATTTTAAATTTACATAATTTTATAAAATATTTATAATTTGCTTGAGGCTAATACCAAATCATATTTTAAATTTGACATAAATCATTTAAACTTAGTATCAGATATTAAAAAATTTTTTGCCATAAAATAATTCAGTTCTCCTAATCTCATATGCTAATTTAATGGTTCCTAAAATATTTCGCTTAAATTTTTTTGTATAAATAAAATGTTTCTTAAAGATTTAATACTTAATAATTTAACAAAATATACTTAAAATTTGCCTCTAATAAGAATTTATGGGTAAAATTATTTTCTAAATAAGGAGTCATATTATGTACATGACTTCTATAATGGAACCAAGATTTTATACTCGAACAATTAATATTATAAATATTGATTGAGATGAGGAATAAATACTTGATAAAAAAATTATATTACACTTATAATGAAGGGTCAAAAAGATAAAAATTTATGCTAATAATGATAAATTTGGGGGAGGGAGAAAGATGTAATATTAAATCTAGTGTTTATTATTCACCAATAGAGGGAGCGATGTATAATTTTAATATTATTATAAAAAAGAGATGATCTTATTTGTGTTATGTAAGTTTACATACAATACTTCAAAGGATGAGATGGATGATGATATTTAAAAAATATCACTTGCTACTTCGCATTCGCTTAAAATCTAAGCTTTTTGAAAAAAAATTTTATACTAGACTTGATTTAGACTTTTAATATATTTTTTTTTTAAAATAAGATTTTAATTTCATAAATAAGTTTAAATAATTTATTTTAATTGGGTCAATGTCACTTTACACTAAATTTCAAACTTAATTAATTCAAAATAAGAATTTAGCGTTTAAAACTAACTATAGAGGAACAAGTATAAGTTATAAAATTTAAATAAATTATAGTGGGAAAAATTTTATATAACAACCACATAAGAAAAATTTTGCATTGTGGACAAATTCATTAAAATATCGGTTATGACATGATTAGAGCTATTTTATATCATTAAAAGGAACGTCAAAGGATTACTTATAAATATATTTGTTTTGTCGAATAATTGTAAATAATGATTTTAAAAATAATATAACCGAATATAATGTTTTAAATTTTGATTTAAAATTCGCAAAAAATATTTTTAAAGCTTAATTTTAATTCTAATAAACAGTGGCATATTTAAGGGACCTTTTAAAGATTAAATAGGATCCATTGAGAAAAAGTTTTCAAATGAGGCTCAGTTTTAAGTATCAAAAAAATCCTCTCACTCACATTAATTCTTATAAGTTCTACTTATTATAATTCATTCTCAACTCTTTAATAACCTTTTAACCTAAACCCTTGGATGATTCCCCTTTACAAAGCGTTTTCGCGAGAGAAATAAATTTCAAGGCAACCGCCTCCTTCCAATATTTATCATTCTCTGCCACCTAAAATGCTTACCACCTATATGGAAGGGAATCCACCCCCCCCCCCCGTTTATGGGACATTGTGTGTGTAATATAATTTCACAATTATTAGATAATATAATATGAAAGCGCAAAAAATGAAAAGATGCAATTGCTTATTAGAATATAATCTTTAATATTTTTTGTAAAAATTTCATTTGAAAATCCTCTATACGCTACTTTCAGATTAGATTTTCGTTTAGTAACAAGGTAAATACAATTTTAAAATATTAAAATTTTCATATATAACTTTTTTAGTCACATAGTAACCTTTTTCAAATAAATAGTAACTTAGTTCACAAACATATTGAAAAATGACACTATGAAATCGTCCCTATGTAAAATGTGACTAAGAAAGCAATATTAATTTTTTAAAAAAAATATAACAGTATTTAATACCAGTAGGAGTAAATTTATTAATATATTTTTTTGAACAGAAATTATATAAAAATTTATTAATAATAATTCTAATATCAAATTCAAAATATAAATAAACTGTCGATACAATTAAATAAATAATTTAGGAATTTTATCTATAAACTATACCACCATTTTTAATACACCAAATACCAAAATGTTTTTAAAATTTATAAAAGGTTCATATTTGATAAAATTTTCAGAAATATCAAATCGTTTATTTATAAAGTATCCTTCTGTAATCCTTCCGGGCTAGGTGCTCCCTTATTTGACTTGGGAGCCGGTTTAAAGTTAACTTGCGCAGCCGGTTCCACAATAATCGACTTATCTTGAATCCCTTTTTTCTTTACTGAAGTCTTCATCTCCTCGCCAAGACTAATTACTGAACCGCCTACTAAAGATCGAGGACTTAGGGCAGAGACAAATGAATCTTCTGATCCTTCTCCTGCGATGTTTAATAAGTTTTTAGCACCTTTGGCTAAGTGAATTTGTCTGTTACTTATGGGAGGAGAAGGGTCGTTATCCATTAAAGAAGTTAGGTGAGCAGGGGAGTGAGCGTATGAGTCGCTCATTTTTCTAGGAGGGTTTGGCATTTTCTGAGGGTTAGGGGATGGCGTTTTCCAAGGCAGAGCCTTTTCAGCTATAGTTAAGGACTCTTTGCGTTGCTCATCCTGGACAGGTCGATCATCAACTTCTTCGTTATCTTTCTTTATATCAAACAATTTATCTTCCGCTTCTTTGGGTGTCTCTTCCCTTATTTCAGCGAGTTGCGAAAGAATTGGAGAAGGTAGACCATCTTTCATGTCCATTTTAGGAGCTAAGGGCGCTGGCTATAAAGGATTTAAATTTTATGCCAAAAGGGGAATATAAAAAGAGTATAATTTTAATTTTAAATTGACTAATTAGAAGTTTTTATTTAATATTTCAATCAAAATTTATCTAATATATAACCTTAATCGGTTGCAAAACTTGTAGTGTTTTTACTGAGGGCGGAGTCTCGTGAGATGAGTCGGTATCTATATCATTTTTTATCAATCTTTCTTCCTCTTGATCTACCCCGTCATCCATATATGATCCAAATTTATTAGTAACCTTTTTATCTAAAGAAAGTTTAAGTTCGAAATGTAATAATTTATATTCATGTCATAAGGTTGTTTTTAAGTGAAACTCAAACTTTTTTAAGACCCACATTCATATTAAAATTTATTTTTATTATGTCTATTATAAAATAATTTTAAAAAATTTAAATATAAAATGTGTTTATATATATACTAGAAGCGGGCTTAGGAGTAGATTTCTCGACGCCATTCGCAGGTAATACAAAGTTTACGTGTTTATTGCTACCCGTAGGGGATGTAACGGGGGTAAATGCTTTGGTTGAAACATTATCAAAGGATATATCAGAGGATGTTGTAGGACTGTTGACAGATTGAACTTTGTTCCCACCATTTTCATCTCCGACGTTGTGCATAGGAGTATCCGAAAAAAATCGCAAGCCTTCCTCAGAATCTTTGCTGCCTCTTTTGTCATTCTTTTTATTAATGGATCCCAAATCACGGGAAGGAGAGCCCGTTATACTAAGGGAGAATCGTCTCAAAGCTCCACTTATACCAGATAATTTTGAATGTTCTTTGTATTTGATGCTTTCTATAAAATAGATATATTTTCATTAAATTTATTTTTAAAGAATTTAATTTATGTAAATAACCATCTTTCGATTTTTCAGTGATTTGTCTTCTTTTATGAATCTTATTGGATTCCAGCAAAGGCCGAGTGGTTTTAAGCTTAGAAGTATGTCGATACGAAGGGGTGATTTGCAGGTTAATGTGAGATGGATTGTCGAAGAGCATATGCCTGCTGTATTTTTTCACCTTATATTATAAACAATAGAGTAATGTATTTTCTCAAATAATATATTATATATTAGGGTTTTGCAGGGCCGGCCATCAGTTTGGTCCGCGGTAACATTATCAACAGAATATATATCCAACTCTTGATCCGAAAAAAATTATAATATTATATTTCCTTTCTATTTTTGTCAAAGTTATTGTTATTATTTAAATTTAATGCAAAAAATAAAATAGAGAATAAAAGTAATATTTTGATTAAGATTTCTCTGTAAGCTTTTAAAAAAATTCTAAACGCGGACCATAGCGAGCTATGGGCTTGGCCTAAATCTTAAAAAAAATTTGCCATCCGGCCGCAGGCGGACACGGGCCAAAAAATTTTTTGCATCTCTCTATTATATATTATTATATTTATAATATATCATGTTTTTGCTTCAAGTATTAAAATGAAAGCTAACAGTGAGCATTTTATTAAGCGGTGTGCATTATTAAATAATTGGTATAAAAAAGCAAAGTAAATAAAATGTTATTAATAACTTTTGGCATAATATGGATCCAAAGCAAATGATTAGAAGCAGCTCATAATAAAATATTAAACATAAGAAGACTTACGGAATTTTTCTAGAAGTGTTAATAAGTTGTTTTGAAAAAGAGAATAAGGCATTATCATTTTTTTTTCCATGAAATAAAAAATATATTATAATAATGATAAAATCGTGCTTAAGAAATTTTAAAATAATAATAAAATGGGTCAAAACTCTCTGTCTTGGCTGGTACATTATATCTTCCATCATATAATGCCATTTATCAGCTTCTTCTCTATTGGAGTAAACCGGATCTAAATGTGACGTATCAACAACTGGCATTTCACCAACGAGTTGACTATCAACAAGCATACTTTTAATTTTAAATTGTTATATTAATGTATACTTTGAAATATAATGTAAAAGTTCAAAGTTATGCTATATGTATCCTTATTTCCGTTAAAACAATTTGTAAACTCCGCATGCCTCTAAATTGAGTGATATAATCAAAATGTAAATAATGAATGCATTTAAAATAATATAATTTAAATTGGTGTATGACACCTCAACAAACAACTAAATTTTGCGAAGTTTATATACTTCAATATTATAATTTTATATATTGCAACAATTCTCATGGAATAGAAATAATTGAAGTAAATATGTTAATTGCTAAAACTAAAGTTTTATGACTTTTTAAGTTTTTAAAACTTAGGAAATAATATTTAAAATTTAGCCAATAATTTTGTGATATGTAAAATAGATTTCAAAAATGCCTCCAATAGTTGGCATCGATGCTCCTTTTTAAAATTTTCTACGAAAAATTCCCTAATCATGCCAAATTTCAATTGTCTTATGGGTTTCAAACATCGTTTTCAGTAGGGTAACGTAGTGGGGAAGGAAATTAATATTTTAATGTATTTATTAAGAGCAATCCCGATCATTTATGCTTAATGTAAAAATAAATTATAAAATAATTTACGATAAATCTTTTTTGAAAGCATGTATATCACCGCCAAATTTGTGTATGTATTCATTAGCATCTTTAAGATTTAGTTTGGTGCATACCTGAACCAGTTTATTTTCTCTGGAAGTTGGCATTTGTTTCATCAAGAATGGCTTGAGATATTTTGTTTCAAAGACTTCAAATCTAAGATATGCATATTTATTTTATTGTAGGTTCGATCTACCAAAAACGCCAATTTATATATAATATACAATACATTGTTTAAAAGATTATTTGATTCAGTTTAAAGGATTTATTTATTTTTTAATAAAAAATAAATTTTTTGATTGCTATAATAGAGTTTAGAACTGAACTATGGAAACCACGTCAAATTTAAGAATCAGAACCCAACCGGAACCAGAACTCTTTTTTTGTCCAGGTTTAAACCCAGATATAAATACTAAGGGATAAAACTTTTAAAAGGAGGAAATAATTTAATTTTATAAGATAATTAGTTAAATTTGAATCACTGTTTTAACTGTTTTGTTGGTAATTTCAGTTTTATTTTTTTTATTTGAGATAAAATATTATGATTTATAAAAATATTTATTTGAAATATGTATTAACTGGTCCCGAACTCGATTTCTGCCTTTATTGCCGATTAAGTCTTCGATTCCAACCAAGAGATGATCAAAGCACTATAAAAATAGATTTAAAAATAATAATAATTGCGCTATGATTATTCTATATTAAATAATGTATATATTAAAATTGAGAGATATGATCAAATATTTTAAACAAAAAAAGCATACTCTTTCTAGTAATATGTCTCCCATATTTTTATCTTTGGCAGATGCCTTTTTAACACGTAAGAACTCCACAAGAGGACGTATGGTGAGACCCTAAATAATAAAAAATATTTATGCACAAGCTTATAGATTTTAAAGTTTGGACACTGTAAAAATAAAATTTAAGCTGATATTAAATATAACTTAAATAATTTGATCCATAGGCTTTTTGAACTTAAAATATTTTAGCATATTACTATTTAATTTCATTTTTTACATTGGAAAATACCTGAAAAAAGGATGTAAAAATAACTATGGTGACCGTGGTCGTGACGAACATGCGCTTAGTGCTGAGTCCAATGGCTTCCTCTTCCAAAAGCATAGCTAAGGAAAATGAAATAGCCCCTCTCAGACCACCATAAATCAAAATAAAAATGTCAACTGTGTTCATTTTGACTAGTCGGCGCCTATTCAGCAAAGATATCATGATTAGTACTCCTTTATATATATTTTGTAACATTTGTTTATAATCGAATATTTTTTATGAATCATAATAAAAATATATAAAATTCAATTAAAAGAAAAGTTAAGTAAAAAGTCAAAAATGATTATAAAATTACAAAATAAGTTAAATTATGATTCGAGATTTTTACAAAACATTTTTTTTAACGATATTTTCGGAATATAAAAAATATATATAGGGAAAATATTATGTGGGTTCATAAATTTGCTTTAGATAGTTAGTTTTTAAAATATTCTAAAATGGATATCTAGAATTTCGTATATTTATTAGGATCTTGGCAATTTCTAATAGATAAATAATTGGTATAATAATCATCAAATATAAATGTATGCAGAAAAATGCCTTAAAATATTAAATGTATACGACCGGCATATCTCCGAGTTTTAGGCTAAAAACTCGCTGCCTTTTTTTGAATCGGGTGAAATGGCTAAAAATGGAGCTGCTACCTGTCTATTATGAATCACTATAAAAAAAATGTGTGCCGAAAATTTTTTTATTCAAAAATATAAATTATTGAAATTAATAATAATTTAAATATTGAATATAATAAACAAAAATAGTTTAAGAAATATTACATATAAAGCAGCAAGATATTTATTTATGAAAAATATATGCAATCTCTTCTGTGAGCTAATTTTCCAATGATTTCATCAGTATTTGGTGTCAAATCTTTATGTATATGTAGAAGGAATAATCCTTTTAATTTATTTTCTAAGGTATAACTTCCTATTTTATATTATTTTTAAAGAAGAAAGCCATTTATTTGTTCAAGTACTAATGGATATATAATAGTATAATAATTTTAATACATTAGGAATTAGTAAATTACTAAGATTTGCAAGGGTTGTTTGATAAATCAAGAACCTCTCACTCAGTGAATCAAAAAATTCAAATGGGTAGTGTTGTTAAAAACCTAGAGCCGATTTTAAATAAACCGATAATTAATATTAGTTAAATAAATTGCCTAAAAGATTTTGTCAAAAGTTGGAAGAAAGGCTTGGCCATTTTTTGACTAAATTGCCTGACTAATTTCTTTAACCCTAAATACTTTCTGCAATTTTTATGGTGTTAACTAAATCAATAACATTTTTTGAAAGAAACGAATGCAAAAAAATATCGAGTTAAATACAGCACTTTTTTTGAATAGAGTTTTAGCCATTCTCCCATTTCACTAAGAGAAATATTAGTAGGCTCCTCTAACCCCATAAAATCAGTGATTACTTAATTTCGAAGGCTTTTTTCAAGTATATATTTTAATCTGATTTTATAGCTATGTGGGGGAGGGGTTTGATTTACTTCGCTGACTATGTACCTGATTGAAATAGATTTTGTGCGAAAAATTTAATAAAAACAAATTTTTATTTATTCCTCTTCGTTTAGTAATGTTTGTCTTAATAAAGATAAGTATAACTCACAATCAATCAATACCATTAATATATTCTTATATATGTCCCCTGTTGAAGTGATTAAAATGCCACATAATGTCTCTTTGAATTATAAAAATATAAGTTAAAAAAATTTAAGGCCTAATATGCCTTGGGCTAGTGTTAGTATCATATTTTTAATTATACTTTAAAGAAAAACATCTTATTCTCCTGACATTTTCTCCTAGAATATTGACTATTTTATAAATGAGAAATTAAATGCGTGGTTCATTCTAAAATATATTATCATTTAAATTTAAACCTATAGCCCGGAACAAGAGGCAAAACAAGATGGAGAAAAGGGTAAACGCCGTATTCCACACATGGGTATCAACAACGGTTGACAGACCCAGGAAGAGAAATATTATGCTTTCGCACATACTGCTCAACATCTTCATCGTGTATTTAACAGTTGTCGTTGACTTCGGTGATATGTTGGCTTCCACATATTTCCTCATTATAAGCCCACAAAACACGATACTTTTTAAAAATGGATAATTAATTTTAAAAAATAAGTTTTTTATGATATAACCATTAATGATTAAAGAGACTAAAAATATAACGATTTAAATTCCTAGAGGTTTGTTTTATAGGCAGGTATATATAGAAAAATGCATACTCACGATTATATAACTAATTTAATTATATCATACGCCAAAATTCCGGATAATTTGAACATATCGGCGACCAAATAGGAAACATAAGCTAGCAAAAATATGAATAACGGTTCTATGACTGTTACCTTTTCAGTGTATCTAAAATTTGTAATTATCAAATATTTTATAGTAATTGTATATAATTATTAAGCTTTTATTGCTGTAATTATATAAAACATTAATAATGTCATTAAAGAACAATAGTGTAATCATAATTATATTAATTTTATCAAAAGGGATGGTTATGAATTTTGATTGAATATAGAATATTATGCTAAAAAATCTATTATTTCCATTTAATAAATTATACAATAAGTTTATATTACAGCTATGTACTGACCTGTCTTAGTTCAATACAATCAAGTTGAACGAATATTTTTTCTAAATTCTAACGGATCGAACATTAATTTAAAATTTTTGCAAAAGTTCGGTCAAGTCTGACTAACACAAAGATATATTATGTCGGTGTATATTTTGGTCTTAATAAAAAAAAGGGTTTTATATTTTTTTTAAAAATTAACCACTCTTATTTCCAATGTATATTATAATGCATACTTAGTAAGCCATGCGGTAAAAAATGCGAATATGCTTCCTATGATGGTTCCACCTAATGCCACCACAAAAAATGATAATATGCCTGCTACGATATCGCTGGAAATTATATTTTCGGCTTTGATTTTACTATAAGTCCCAAACATATTGTACAGAACCTGAACCATCAGTATGTAAATAGTTAACATTGCGTTATTATAGAAATAAAGGTTAAATGCTTAGCCTCATATATTTTAAGAATAATGTAGTCAATCCTACACTTAAAAAAATATATGAATTGAATCTCCTTAATATTAATTGGCTTTAAGGAGACATCAAAATAAATTTCAAAAGTGTATATTACAAATATCAATTACAAAAATTTATGTTAAAAAGTATTTGCCTCTTTATTAATCTTCTTATTATAGGTTATTTATTTCGAAAAATAATTAACGTTATTTTTACCACAGCCACTCCATCATTCAAAAGAGATTCTCCGAAGACTACAATGTGCAAAATTTCATTGACTTGAGCCTCTTCGAACACAGCTAAAATGGCTACGGGATCTACTGCCGATATCAAACTGCTAAATAGTAGGCAATGCAATAATGGCACATCGATCCCAAATAATCCTATTTTTTTAAAATTTGGTCATATAATATTAGCTAAATTCCTAAATTTGACTAGTGCATCTTGTATCTTAGTATTTTTACGGGTAAAAAAACTACCTATGATATTATCAAAGTTATGCAGTTCGATTTATCACATGGTAAATGAAATATAATAATAGAAAGTCTAAATCATTCTTCAAAAGCTTCATTTGAAAAGAAATTAATAAAATAATTTAATATCTGAAAATTTAAACGCATTTACCTGAACGTGAAATACCCCACAAAGCGAAACCCATCGAAAGAGTATTCCATAATGTTCCAACAACTGCCAACAATAGAATTGTGCCTATATTCTCAAAAAACGGTCTTCTAGGCATAAAATAGCCGGCTTCCAGAACTATAGGAGGTAGCAGGAACAAGAAGAACACTGAGGTTGATAACGTATATTCGATGTGTCCAACCTCGCTGAAAAACAGTATTATGCCGGTCAAAACCCCCAGGAAAATCAACATACACGATTCTGGAACATAGGAAGACGGTTTGGGTGAAAGATGAAACCCTTTTATATTGAGAAAAAATGTAAAAGTTAGATTTTTAAAAAGAAATCAATAAACTAATTCAAAGATTGTTCATCGTTTATTTACCTATTATATTATGTTATATTAATTTTTAATTAGTATTTAATGAATTGGTAAAAGTTATTTTCGAAGACAATATATAGTAGAAGTATGCAAAACCAGACCCGTTTAAAATTTTTGCACAAGTTGCCCGGCCCATTAAACATCTCCCCTCTCCACTGGCTAGGCCTATGAAAACGTGTCAAAAATTATTTCTTTTATTTAAAAAGTACGTGAAAAAATCTATGAATAAATATACAATTTATCAAAAGATGTTAGGCACATTTAATAAAATGAAAAACGGAATATTATATTTCCCTAATTTTATATATTGATGATAGTAATGTATAAATGCTCGTATAAATATATATTTTAGTTCAAAAAATAATATTTTTTCAATAAGTGCACCTGAAAATTTTAAATTTCTTTTAAAAATACCTTTAAAAATAACTATCATTTTGATAGCTAAAATAAAAATGAAAAGTCATTTTCAAATTGTTAGCTATAAAAAAAATTTTTGAGCCCCCTGAGATTGTAAAGGCTAATGACGCCACTGCAATTAAGCATTACATATTGGATTGACTTGCTTTCAAATGCGCATCGAAAGTTTGGAACACTTTATGCGTAAGACTTCTTATCAAATTTTTGAAAATATAACTCGATTCAAAATATAATGAGATTTAAACTATTTTATGCTAAATCTATGAAATAAAAAAGAACAAATAATAACCTGATCGTAAAATAATAAAATTTAAAAATATTATGAATCGGGGAAAAAGACACCTGTAATTAATTTTTTAATGGTGATTAAAATTCCGATATTATGATGCAGCATAAGGCGTGACGTTATAGTTTCCAATTTTCTTATAACTCCATTTCAGCTTAGTGGTTGGCAAAATTGATTGATGAATTATAATAAACAGGAAATGTTGGTAAGATACAGATATTCAGTGATTTTATCATTTTTTGTTCTGGCATGATGCCAATCACGGCAATTTTTTCTTATTTTGAAAAATGTTTTTTTCTTTAAACTATCTATGAAACTTGTTGAAGCACTAAAATGTAATCGTAATAATTATTGATATAGATATAAGAACTAATGCTTCCAGAAGCTGACTATTCATGGCTAAGGCGAGATATCGTTGTTTTTATTTCGCTCGATTTATTTTTTATAGTTGGTAAAATTGATTAAGGAATTAATAAGGATCAGACACTTAATAATAGCAAAAATCAGATATGTAGTGCTTCAAATTTTCTATTCTGACATAATGCCAATTAATCCTAATTCCACTGATAACTCTATCTTCTTTATACATATCAAACAGAATAAAATAATAGACTAAGTACTTAACATTGATAAAAGTTTCAGACGAAATAGTTTCAGTCGATTTCTAATAGTAAGGTAGGCCAATATTTTTTGCTAATGTATATTTCTTTTACAATGGTGACTATATTTAGAGCACTCATAAGGACTAACAGCAAATATTGGAATAAAATTAATGTTTTTAATTGATCGGCTAAATCAATGAAAAGAAGATATAATATTTTCAAATAAAAAATACCACGGAAAAATAAGATAAACAAATATACTCAAATCGAATTGTCAAAAAGAAAGAAAGGAAAGAAATGAGGTCACCCAAAAAAATCGGTGACCGATCTCTTGAATAAATTCTGGCTACGTTACCATCTCCTTGTATATATTTATACGCATTTTTCAAATTAATCAAAAGTTAATGCAAAGATTTACATAGATAGAACACGAGGTAAGATTACAATTGATATGTTAATAAGTTTGCCCGAAGATATCGATTTTTTTATTAACCTAAATTTTTTTAAAGGATTCAGACTTAGTCCTATCCGTGCAAGGTTCTAAAGGATAGATGCAATTTCTTAATGAATTCTAATTATATAGAATATATATTATATTAGGTACCCTTTAAAGCCTTCTCATGTGATCTACTTTGCAGGGCGTGTATGCTAATTTTTTAAAAAAAATTTTGTTCACCTTATATAGGTTAATTTTTTTTGAAGGTCTATTCGATCGAAGTAACTTTTTTTCTTTTTCTAGATAATAAAATGGCTTGACCAGAATAAAAAAATTTTTTAAATCAATGTCCAGCCTGATTTGATCTGAAGAAAGTGTCAATCTGATCTGTCGGTTGTAACAATTTCGTGACAAGGCTTTAGTTTTTCTTATAATAAATAGCTAGTTAAATCATAAATAAAATTAATAATAGGCATAAATTTTAATTTAAAAAAATCGCAAAATTTTTTCACCTGTAAAGTGATAGATATAATAGAAAAAAAATTTGCACACGGAAACAGTTTAATTTTAAATGTTTTACAGATAGATAGATGTAAGGGAAGAGGAGATGCAAAATTCTATATATGAAAAATTGCTCTTGTAATCTTGGATTAATAGGCATTCGGCACAAATAAAATGGAAATAATTGGCAATATTTATTGAAAATTTATGAGTTAAATTAATCAATATAATAATTTGTTAAATATTCATTCATTCTCACTTTAAAAAAAATATTAATCATAATCATCAATTAGCTTTTGCTTAATTTAAAAATCAGATCAAAATTTATACAAAGGATTTTAAATATTTTTTTATAATTATAATTCAATCGATAAAAAATATTGGTATTTTAATTTAAAACATTTATTAATCATGAGGGTGGACAATTAAATGGAATAATTTTATAAAGGAATAATTGATAATCAATTTTTTAAAAAATGTTATTAAGCTTAAAAATAAGAGGATTACCATATAAAATTCATATAGTAAATGGGTTATTATAATGAAATTTAGCATTCATTAAAATTATTGACAAAAGTGGATTTCCATCAAGCCAACGATAATATATTTTGGATTTGAATTATCCTGCATTAATTAATTTTTTATATAAAAACCACATAAGTTCGCATATAACTATGTAGTCGTATATTAACATTTCAATTTAAGTTTAAGCTGCGTCCAAAACAATAATATTATATGTCGTATTGGGATATAGAATTTATAGTGATTCTGAATTTCACAACTTAAAATGATTTACTGAAGGTTGAGTAAACATTTCCAGCACCCAAAAAGTATGCCCATGTGAATTTCAGACAATTTTAGTAATGAACTTTTGTGTTTTCTAATAGGGAAGACTGAGTCATTCAATCTGCAGAATATTTAAGTTAGAGGCGTTTACCTCCAATGATGTCGGAGTTATAATTGCAAATGTATTTAATTTTTAAAAAAAAACAGAATTAAAAATGAAAAATCTAAATTTTCGATATACTAAGTTTTTAACCTTCAGTACTTATGGATCCTAACTTTTATAAATTAAATAATAACCATCATAAAACAATTTACAAATGTATATTTAACATCATAAAAAAACAAAAGTTAACAATTTCTCAAGCACATTATACAAAATATCAATAAAATATATTTAAAAAATGTAAAAACCAAAAAAAAGAGCAAACAACTATAACAAAATAATATAGTATAAATATTATCATTTGCATTGATAAAATAATTATCAATATAAACCGATTTTATTGCCTTAATTAAAATTTAACCTATTTTTGTTGATTTAACATTGCATGATCCTTTTACAAACTAATGCAATTGCAATTTCGTCCCTTGCGGGATTTCCCCAGGATACTGAGACACTTTAAATGAATTTTCCTACTTTTATGGCTAAGCTAAAAATATAAAAACAAAAATATACCAAAAGAGAAGAGAAAATAAAGTTTTTTGTCTTCATTTTTTGTCTTCATGTACTATAACGGGCTTCTCATCCTATAAAAAATCTATGATAGTCACGTAAAAAAATACTAATTTTTACCAAATTTCAATCATCCATAAGTAAAATGATTCATTTATTTCAGGAATACCTCAGTTTTTCCTACATGAAAAATCGATAATAAAAATTAATATACATTAAGATTAGTTCAAACTTGCATGGCAAAATTATATGAAATTCACAGTTTGGTATATTCTATAGTCTGGACATCCTTTTTAGATCAAATTTTTCAAATTTAAAAATCGCCTAAATAATTTATTTTTATAATTTTCTAGTCAATTTTTCAAAAAATTGAGATCAATAATGCTAAAATTTTACAAAAAAATTAACTCAAGACCCTCAAACTTTTTTTTAAAAAAAAGGAGCTAGTTAAGTTCCAATGGTGTTAAACTTTATCAGGATGCTCGCCAAAATCCTATGATAATTTTGTAAAGTGAAAATGGTTTTGCATTACAATTTATGATTTGGAAAAAGGGCAAATGTAAATGGCTATATTCCAACACAATGGAAACCCATTTAGCCAATTCGTAATGAGAAAAAAAATCTTTAGAGGTTTTGAGCAATTTTTTGTCAAATTTTAACATTTTATATATTAATTTTCTAAAATCTGACTCAATCAAATTTTAAAAAATTGGAGGATATTAAGTTCCATGTACCCTTTTAATAAAATTTCATAAAAAAAACAAGTGATGTGTTCTAGAGTTGTAAAGAAACACAATGCTTTTTCAAGTCACCAGGTACATATTTTAGAACTATCAGTCAGAGTTTTCTATTTACAGTTATCATTGGCGTACGCAGCGGGGGGGGGGCAGGGGGACAAATGCCCCCCCCCCCAAAGCCAAAAAATGCAGATGCCGGATATATTTTTCAAAAATATTATTTGTTTATATTAATTTATATTTGTTAATATATTCGTATCTCATATTAAATATATATTTAATTATATTTATTAACACATTTATCTACTAAGTTATTTTATCAATTAAATTCGATTTTAAGTTTTCCGGCGTAATATTTACTTATTATTTTCAAATTTTTAGTGGCGTAATATTTGTCTACCATTTTCAAATTTCTAGTCAAATAATAATTATTTCTGAAACTTCTTGTCCAACAGGGAAAAATTAATTACAAGTTCAACG